CATACCATCATTTAGGTTGCAGTCTTCACAGAAACAAATTAATATTGTATTTATGGCTATCTAAAAATTGTTTAAAAAATTATTTAGTTTTCTTATTAAGACATAGTATTTAAAATATTATAGCTTACTTTATAGACTAATATAAACAATGCGCCCCAAAAAAGCAAAAACACCAGCAACTACGAGAGGCGCCTATAAATGGACAATACTCGTTTTGGTCTAAATAAAAATAAAAATATATAAATCATTTGATTTAATTCATAAAACAAATAGTTGCATTAAATTCTAGGACAATAAAAAAGAAACGGATAAAATAAAATAACCTATTGAATTTATTGCTTAATATGATACAACAAACGAATGTGTATGATAATTGATAACATTATTGTTAACAATTGTAGTTTGATTATATTGCTCAAGAGGCGGACAAGTTAAATTTTTGTAACCAGGAAAAAATATAAAATAAAAAAAAGCCCAAAGCTACTTAAAAGTACACGAGACCAACTCAAGTAAGACTTTGCTAATACATTTTTTTAATTTTTAAAATATAATTAATATTACAATAAATGTAATAAGTACAGTTATAATTCTAAATATACATTTTCACGAATAAGATGTTAAAACATAATAAGTCATAGATTACTGAAGTTATTGTTGTTTTTAGTTTTTTTTGTCTTTATTCCCCCCCCCCCCCAAAAAAAACGGTACAAAATCGCCAACAGAGTTAATACCAGAAACTCGCAGCACATTTGAAGTGTCAAGAATAAGATTTTTTTGTTTTGTTTTTATTATATATTGTTTGTTAAAACACTATGAATAATATAACAAGTATTAACTTTTGACAAATCCAATTTACTGTTGGTCAACTTAATTAATATAACAAAAAAAAATAATAATCAACACAAAGAACTGTTTTACATTGTTCTTAGTAGATTTTATAAGTAAAATCCATCAGGCAAAATTGTCCTGTTATAATGAAAAAAAAATGTATAATTAAAATAGGTTTCCAGTTGTGATATTTTAATAGTTATTATATATATATTTGTTTGCCACAAAATGATTAGGTATGTTATTGTGCAAACAAGAAAGGCCAGGTAGGACAATTAGTTCACACGTCCTAATTCTCAGCAATAATTTATTATTTTTTTACTAAATTTGTTAACAGTACCTACTTAATTACTATTATTTTATAGCTAGATTTTTTGTAAAACATTAGTGTAGTTGATTTCAGTGTAGGTGTTTTATTATATTTTACATAATTAAAAACCTACTAACAGTAGGTACATTTTGCATCAATCGAATTTGAATTTGGACAACGATGTTGTCATCTTGAACGTTAAACACAAACATTATTGTCGAAATACGTGTTTAATTAAAGTTAAATGTATTGTAGATAGTGTTTTGGATTGAATAAATGAAATAACTCTACAAATCTATTTTATCTATTATGTATTGACTAATATGTTTTGTTAAATTGCACAGTATACTGTCATGATTAAAAAATAATAATCTATGAGATAATAGCAAAATTAATTTGTTTGCCATTTTATTTTAAAAACATAAGCCGTAAAACAATTACTTCTTAAATACAGCTAAACTTTGGAGCTTAAAAAATTTATAAAATTTAATTTTAGTTATGTTTTCTAATTAGTGTCCTTCTATAGAAACGTATGGTTCATATCAGTAACTAAAATACTAAACTTGAAGTATTATTAACAGAACTCCTATTTTATAATTAATTTAGAAGTATATTGTTTTTCTACTAATTATTGCAAAGAAAACGGCACTAGCCCAAATTCCTAGTCCCAGGGGCCTCTTCATTTAGTTTTCGATCTAATATTGTATAAAATTACTAAAACAATAAACATTTTTGTCTTAATTCTAAAAAAGATAACCTTATTTAATAACTTTTAGCAATTGGACATTTTTTCATTTTACATTAGGACAAAAGATAATTTTTCCTCTTTAGTTGTAATAAAAAATTGTGTAATACGTAAAATGTTGTGTATGATTTTTTATAACGTTTTAAGTAGGTGAACAACAATACGTCTTAAGTAATCAAACTTATTTTGGCAAAAGTTGACATTAGCTTTTCTAGACATAAGTCCATATTAGAAATTACACATTTTACAATAATTACACAACTTTTATTTTTAAAGCATTTTTTCTCAGACAACAATAGGAAAAGGTTGTCAATGGATGTTTAGCAATGTGAAATTAACAAATAGGAAGCAATTTTATTAATCCTCGTTTGGCGGCATTTCTCCCGCATAAATCTATGACAAATAATATTATAATATTCGGAATGAAGTCATTAAATAATTCGTCGTGTACCTACTTTGTATAATATAGTTGTTTAATACAATGTACAGAGGCGGAACTACGTATAGATAAACGATGGATTTTCCACGGGCCTCGTTAAAAGTCTGAAACCTATTATATGATTTATAGGAACAGTAAAATAGTATACAGCAGCATGATTGATGTTCAGTTATTCGCTAAAAATCCGATGTCGATGACCATAATTTACGTTATTATTAATTGTGAATGATATGGAATGACATGCTACATAATATATAGTATAGTATATAATAACGTTATGTCTCATCGCAGATACCCGACGATGTTAATGTGGAATTGAAATAATAATATTATCTAGGGTTTTCCTATGCTGGAGACGACACTATTACTTTATAATTTGTTAATTTTAATTTTTAACAATCAATTATAAACTATTATTTTCATTTGATTTTGACGGTCGCAGTTGTCGGTGTCAGAAAGTCTAGTAGAAACAACGTCTGGTAAGTATTTTGCATTGAAGTTGTAATATTACACTTAACCGACAAAATGAAAGTATAATTTATATAGTATAATAATCATTGTGCATACTGGTAATTCTAGGATTAAACAATTTAATATTAAAATTAATAACTGATAATTTTATTTAGTTTGCTTCTGAGCTTAAATCTTGTCACAACGTTTTTAATATGATCAAATTATTAATAATTGAAAATAATAATTGAATTACTAGATTTCCAGATTTATTAACAGCCTTTTACTTATTTTTGACATTACCGGTAACTGTTGCTAGTGCAGAAAGGTCATTTTCAAAACTTAAGTAGATAAAAAATTATCTTAGAAGTACTATGACAAAACGTGACTACCATATAATTTTTTAAAAGCAAACCGATTAATGTGGCGGATTTAAGTGTTCAAATAAAGTAGGCAAATCCATAAGAGCGGGCCTCGTACAAAATGTATCAGTAACATACTTACTTGTTACTTATTTTATAGCAACAAATCTTCTTATTAAAAAAAAAAATTCGCCATTTCTATAAATAAAACAAAATTAACAGTAGGTGGTATATAAAATAAAATTACAAAATTAAAAATTATAGTAAACAACCTCTGCGACTTCAGCCTTGGAAAACTGGTTGATAAGATCGTTCATATCGAGGAGTAACTATGGATTGTAACAACTCATTTGTAATTTTTAAATAACGAGCTTTGTCTGATGACATTACGGTAATTGCCAATTGGGCGATCTAGAATATCAAGCTTAGTTTTCACATTAAATTAAATTTTTTTTATTATTTGTATTAATTTCATCAAAGGTCTCATTGATCTCAGAATTCATTGCGGGTATATTGTTTTATTGTATTACTGTTAGATCTCAATGTAAGTTTTGTTTGATTTGGACATTCACTAGCTGCTACAAGAAGTTAACTTTTTGTTTTTTTTTTTTGTACCCCCGAATCAAAACTTTGTTTTACAGACATTTTTCGTGCTGGAATAAAATAATTCAAATAACAGATTTTACTAGTCACGAACTCACGAATGACTAGTGACAGTTATTTTAGTTTCCGCGATAACAGTTCTTGGTGTTGGTATATTTTTATTTTTATTGTATGGGAAAAACTGAAAATGGTAGGTACATAATATTGTGTAATTTTAAGAGAGAACGTCATGCAAAATAGCAGTAATTTATATTCGTAAATAACACATAAACTAATTCTTCCGACAAATTTGTAAATCATATAAATCGTCATCAATTGTATTTATTGAATGTAAAAATATACAGTTGGTATAAAACTTAAGAAAAAAAAAATATATGTATTAATTGTAAATTTGTACTTGGAAATTATAAACTCAGTTTAGTGAATTAAACAAGGACTCGCTCTGTAACGGATTTAGGACACATATATTTTTTATTTAACCTCTTTTTTTACTCTTTATTTGTATACCTACTGAATGTGATTAAATAATAATATAATTTTTAATTTCATTAAATTGTGTCTCAGTGGTTGAAACTGGCACATCTGCCATATTCCATATTCTACATAATTGCTATATGGTATAACTTAAATTTATTTCTTTTCGATTAGCCCTGATTGTACTCTATGAAAGTCGAAGCGAAAATTAAGACTTATAAATAAGCTGCGATCCAATTACCAGTCTGTGGGGACTTTAGTTAACGCGTTATATTATAACCACATTCCGTTAAGCCAACGTCAGAACAACAATAATCTTGGGAAACATTTATCTTATCTTTACTCTTCTCGCTGCTTGGTAACGGCCGACGAGAATAGTAAAATTATATACGTATACCTAATTAGGTAGGTAGGCCTACCCAGCAATGGGGCCCTTTAGGATAGGTATTTTATAGTCAGTCTTTTTTTGCAATTTATAATGTACAAGACTACAAATATCTATGAATTATATTATGAAAAAATCGAAAAAGCTAGTAAAATGGCCAAAGGCTAGATCCCAAATTCTAAGGCAATTCTGAACTTCGAAATGGCCGTGTATATTGCCATAAAATGGCCAATACGGTAACACTGCCGGGTTATGCCACCATGCAATCTAATCTCTAAGCAACCACTATACACTACATTGTGCTCGTTAGACCATTTTTCGCCCTTTACACGGTTTATCGCTCAATTAAAAAAAAAAAAAAAGTTTGCGGTTTAGCTTAGTATATAAATATGTTTGCTCGGAATAGTGAATCATTTGATGCGTACATTGTCGTCGCTAGTGTTTGATTGATATCAAGTCGATCTATAGTTATTTTATTTCTGCTCTTCTTATAACTGTCAAAAGTTAAAACTTTGTTTTTAATTATAATATTATCTACTAACTACTGGTAAGGAACTGTTATTGCTTTAATTATTTTTGTTAAACAATTTATGTTTATACTAAAATTTATACGGCTTATTAAATTATTGTGATCCTTGCGAATACAATTTTTTGTTCTGTTCGTGTAACTTGTGTATGCCGCAACATAGGTTTTAGTAAATAATATGTTTGTATCATATTTTCAGTTTTTTTCAAAAAACTATTTTTATGGCATTACTCTTTTATTTTTATTTATAACGTAAATTAAAAAATTCATATTTTTTCAAACCCTACATGTACCATTTTCTCTTTTTTCCACTCCAAAAGTATTATAATTATAATATGTATAATCGAAAATATTTGTTTTTCATAAATTAAAAAACTACCTAATGGTTTTATAATTATTTACAACTAGAATTAGGGAAATATAAAAAAAAAAGGACTAAACAAAACGATATTTTTTTTTTAGAATCACCATGCCGGTCCGTGAGGCGACCGTACACGATCTCGCGTATCTCTTTTACCGCCCGACGGAACCTCTGTTCATTGGAAAGGGCAAGGATCATAAAGTCGTTTTCGATATTCCTGAGGAGTATAAGGTACGGTATTTACTCAAAAATGTTGCATATTATTCACATGCAAACAATAATCTTTTAGTAATTCATCGAGCAACAGACCGACATATTTTACGCACGTGTTTGTATAATATTTTGTTTCTCCGTTTAGACCGACCGGCACAAAATGGTGATGGCTCGCATGCCCAACGTTGAGCCCATTACGAGGTTCAACATGGAAACCATTGGGGACGGAGGACCTAAGAAAATTCAGGTCAAGAAACTAGAGAAACTCCCCGACTTGTCCCTTCCCCTGTCGTTCAAGAAGGACACGCCGTTCACCCTGTTCAACCCGCACCACAGCGCGGCGGCCGGCCGGCTCATCACCGTTTTAATGGGTGAGTAAACCGTACCAACCTCGTTACAGTTAAGTCCAGAGTTTGGCATTATTTAGTTAATGTTTAATTTAAATAATTTTACGTACAACATTTTGAGTAAAATATGCGTATAATTTAGTTATTATTTTTTTTTTTTTGACACATAAATTACATAATTGTGTAATAACTGTAAACAGTAAAACTAATAAATAAAGTTATGTTCTTCGGTCTTATAATAATACTTATGAGTGCCTTATAGATTTACTTATCGTGCCCTAGGTATTAAATTTGGTGTTACTAAACTTAAATTGAACTATTTTCTAACGGATATACAATTAAATAGTGTTGGTTATTATGTGTTTTCGCAATCGTAAACATTTTATAACAAAAATTGTTTTTATTTTGAATATTCAAACCAGTTCATAAAACATTTTGGGTTTTGATCGACTAGCTTGCTCCGTTGTGTATGGCCATTTTAAATACTGCTAGCCGGAGTTGGACATTATTTAGTTTATATTTTATTAAAATAATTTTTCGAATAAAAGTTGATTATTCGTATAATTACAAATAATACAAATAATGATCAAATTAACTATTATACGTAATTTACTCATGAATAATTTGACTATTAATCGGGTTAACTTTTTTAATCATGATTAATATAACTATTACCCATAATTTAATTTTTCAATCATGGTTATTATTTTTTAACCATGGTTGATATTTTTTATCATTGTTTTTCTTAAAAAATAATTTCTGTTTTACGTAATACTCGTCTGATTTGGATCATTTAATGAATTTATATTAATCAAGTAGTTTTAGGGGAAACAGAAAAAAAAACATTCGAGATGAAAATGTCTTATTTTTAAATCTGTCATCTCTATATACTATTTAAAACAAATTGATATGCTACTAAAAAATATTCTACACAGTTTTTATTTTTTTTTTAAACACATTTTTACATATCACTCAAGGTTAGTGCAGGTAGGAATAATTAAAAAAAACGAAAATCCTTATGTTCAAATAATAATAATTTTACGTACAACGGCCAATCTCATACAAAATGTACATTTGTAATTAATTAGTGTTTACGAAAAACTTATAATAAAATGTAATTTATCCAACATAATGATAAATGAATAAGTCATAAGTCATAACACAATATTAAATAGGTATTATACAACACTATTATAATTGAAAAACTATTTAAACTTGGGTGGGATTTTGTAATTCTACTGATAACATATTAATATAATTTTCTAAATAACTATTATAAATGCAACTTAAGTCCTATTTAAGTTTTCAAGATAGAATAAATCATACATAATAATATGAAATTGTGAATAAATGTACTTCTTCAATCTCTAATAACTTTATTCGTGGGTATCTATAAAAAAGTTAAGTTTTTAATCATGACTAATTTAACTATTGGTCATGATTAATTTTTAATCATGATTGATTCAACTTTTGCTCATGATTAACTTTTTCAGTCATGACTAATTTAACTATCATTCGCGTTAACATTTTTAATCACGATTAATTTGACTATTTCCCATGATTAAATATTTCAATCATGACTAATTTTATTTGTTATTGTATGATTAAATTAACCACGATTAAAAAGTTAACTTTATGTGATGACTAAAATGTTTAGACATCGAGTTAACTTTTAACTTTTAACTTGAATAAAAAATGCTCATCTCTGCTGCTAGTGTGCTTTTATGGTGTTCCTCGGTAGAGTGTCCATGCACACTATGATACAGTCAAGTTTGGAGCGCCTTTTAAAAATGGTTCACACTTTTCTTTTTTTTATTCTAAGGTCGGTAAAATTTATGTTTAAGATTTTTTTGAAATGCGCTTTTAATGATTATGCGATGATTTTGTAGGACTAGTACGTGTAATTAATATATCTAATACACTATAGGTATTGTCATCGATATATTTTATTGTTCTCTCATTTTCAGCTTGATTTTAAAATTAAGATATCATTTTTATAGATGCCAAAACAACCGACGAATTAATGTCCTTGGCCGTTTACTGCCGCGACCGGATGAATCCGTTATTGTTCATCTATGCCATGTCTGTAGTCATGATTCATAGGCCAGACACGCGCACCGTACAACTGCCTTCGCACGTGGAAATGTTTCCCAAACTTTATGTACAGTCTTCTATTTTCAACCGTGTCTTAGAAGAAGCATTCGTGCCGGTTGACATTAGGGTAGGTAATAATATTTCAATCTTCCTGCGAGACTACCTCTTTATACTTGAAGTTCGATATTAAAAGTCATTAAAAGTGATTATATTTTGAGTTATGAGAGATTGAAAAGACTTACACAAGTCTGAAAGAAATAAGGATGAGTTGTCGATGTGACGACGCTATCACAAAAATGTGCTGTGTGATTGATTTTAATATAATATATTTTAATACAACTGTATTGCGGTATGACATAATATGACCTTGTTAGTTGTTTTATTTGTGAAGAATACTAAAATACACCGTACTCTGGTAGTTTGCAAGTTGCTGCACCATTGACCATATAGCAGCAATTTTCTGGGGTAGTCTAAGCTAGTTGATTATGTATAAAGCTGAGGTAAAAATGTTCGGTTTTTATTAAATTACAATGGAAACGAGGTTAAAATTTGGTTTGTATTCTGCCTTGGCACGTAACTAACGATTAAATAGTCTTGTTGTATATTTTAATAGTGAAAGAATGGTTTGGTTTTTATTAACACAAACAGGTACCCGTGGATATACCGCAAGATTACACGGCGTCGAATTTGGACTTCGAACATAAGATGGCGTACTTCCGGGAAGACATCGGCGTTAATCTTCATCATTGGCATTGGCATTCGGTGTATTTACTCTCCGGACCCCCAGATATGGTGAATAGGGACAGGCGGGGTGAACTTTTTTCCTACATGCATCAACAGATATTGGCCAGGTAAACCTTTATAGATCATCGGTTATTCTCTGACCATTTTTTCTAAAAACTAGCTACTCGTTGCCGATTTCAGGTACAATTTTGAGCGTTTTAGCAATCACATTAACAGAGTGACACCTCTGATGCACTGGAACGAACCTATTTTGGAAGGCTACTTTCCAAAATTGGACAATGCGGTAAGCAGCCATGTGTGGCCAGCAAGAAGCCCCAACACCAAATTACAGGTAATTTAAGGCATCCTTTTGGAAGTGAACAGACTTACTAACACAGGTTATGATTTTATTTGTATAGAATGTGCAGAGACAAAACCCCGTTGATAAAACCGCATTCGACATTGAAGAGTTGGAACGTTGGAGAGATCGATTGTTCTTAGCCATACATTCTGGTTTTGTCATAAATGTAATATTAAATATTACCTATTACCTATTAGTTGTTTATGTACTCACGTTCATATTATAATAATGTAATGTTTACAACAGAAAGACGGTCAACAAGTAAAATTAACTGAAACTGAAGGCATCGATATCCTCGGTAACATGATCGAGGCTAATCCATTGAGTAAAAATCCAACGCTGTATGGAAACCTTCATAACAATGGCCATATGGCTATTGGTTTCATTCATGATCCTGATTTCCGCTACAAGGTAAATATGCTAAAATTTGCTTTTAGATACCCAAGTGTATTATTATTTCGATTGTTATTCAGGAATCATATGGTGTTATGGCGGATCCTGCTACAGCAATGCGTGATCCGATATTTTACCGTTGGCATTCCTACATCAATTGCATTTTTCAAGCATTCAAAGCTACTATTCCTGGATACTCCATTCAAAATGTAAGAAACTTCCTACACCTCTTCTTTTTACATTTTATTTTTATAAAAAAAATACTGTTGTAGCTGTCCTTCGAGAACGTAACAGTGCAAAGCATAGATGTAGTTTACGATTCAGAAAAACCAAGTAGAAATGAATTTGAAACATTCTGGCAGAAGTGCGAAGTAGATTTATCTCGAGGTCTTGATTTTACACGGCATGATGGTCCTGTAAATGCTCGTTTTACTCTATTACAGCATACTCCATTCTCTTATAGGATAATAGTATGTATTAAATAAATTTGGATTATAAATGATAGAGTATTTAACTCAAATATGAGTAATTTAATAAAATAATAATAGCCTACTAAAATTATATTATACATTTTTTTTGTTTTTTAATTTTAGGTACAAAATGATGGTGTCCCACAAATGGGGACAGTCCGTATATTTATTGCTCCAAAATACGATGAAAAAAGACTTGCATTCATGTTTGAAGATCAAAGACATTTTTTTGTCGAACTCGATAAATTTAGTACTCAACGTAAGTCGTTCATAAAAACAAATATTAAGTTTGTCATTTTTTTTATGCATTATTATTTGTTTTTTTTTTTTTTACAGTGAAAAGTGGAAGAAACGAAATTGAAAGACGTTCAACTGAATCCTCTGTGACAATACCCTTTGAAAAAACTTACCAGAACATGGATAATGTACCTGATCCGCAGACTCCTGAAGGATCAGCGTTTAATTATTGTGGATGTGGATGGCCCCAAAATATGCTAATTGCGAAAGGAACACCAGAAGGTTTACCATGTGAACTGTTTGTGATGGTTTCAAATGGTGTAATCGATCAAGTCAGTGAAATGACACCATACTCATTATTTATTGTAAACTTGGCTATTTGTAATTAACTTTAACCAATGCAATTTGTTGTTAGGTGGAAAAATCTCAAGGGGATGGTACTTGTAAAAATGCATCTAGCTACTGTGGTGTTCTAGATAAGAAATATCCAGATGCTAGGGCAATGGGATATCCTTTTGATCGACCAGCGGAAGATCGACCAGGGGTAAAAAAAGTTGAAACGTTACAAGATTTTCTTCAAGATTTACCTAATATGGCTGTTCGGGATGTAACTATTAAATTCACGGGTCGTGAAGAGGTTCGACCACCATCTTCTGGAGCTGGTACTAGATTCTAACAGGTCACAACAAACAACAAATACAGGGTCTGGAAATGAACGTCCAACAACTGGAAGGAATTGATAGAAATACATTTTTTATAATATTATAAAAAAATATATATATATTTATTAATAATTATACTTAAAGAATAACAGTACAAATATATTTTGTGTACTATAAATGTTTAATTATAATAAAATACTTTTTATACTTAATACTTTTGTGAATATACTTAAAACTAGTTTTATGTATTTTAGTTTTAAGATTCAGCGCCATCTCCAATCCTTAACACTTTTTGCCTATTCTCAACGAGTTTCTATTGAATGATAGACAAAAATAATTATAAGCAACTTGGTAAATTAAATTACAGTAGAAATTCATTAAAAAAAATATACTCAGTATTCTGACAAATCGGCTTAACCATAGAAATATTAGGTAAGCTCTATTATAAAGTTTAAAACTGAAAAATTTTCATGACCCAATTTAAAACATTAAAATAAAAATTTATAAATCACTTGATTTAATTTTATAAAAAAAGAGTTGTATTAAATTCTAGGATAAGAAAAAAAATAGTTTAAAATAAAATAACCTATTGAATGTATGGCTTAATAATATGATACAACAGATGAATGTGTATGATAACATTAACATAATTTTCCGATTCCCTGTTTTGAATATATCCTGATACTTACAGTGAAAAGACTGCCAACAACAGTATTTGATATGATATTGTCTATTACTGTATCATTTCCTTTAGGTATACATCTATGCAAGAGTTCTTGGCTAAAATTAAAAAAAAAAATCAAAAAGATAATTTAAATAAAACATTGTTTTTAATTCTTTTGAATAAAATGACAATTATTATAAATATCTACAATTAATGACTAAGTATATTGTTTTATTAACTGAAAGAACTATACATATTGGTCTCTAGTTTAGCTTTGATGCAAAGGTATAGTTTTTACAATGATGTGTTTTTTATTTCTTCCATTTGTCTCTCGACCGTTGATGTCTTTTTAACCGCTGAACCGATTTCCTCGTGTAACAACTTCATAGATCAGAAATCGGAACCTGAAAGGTACTTTGTAGAACCAAAAATTTAAAATGTTCACCGCTCTTCTTTATAGTTATCCATTACTTCGTGAAGTTTTTTAAATTTATGATACGATGTACAACAAATATAAATATAACAAATAAACCTTTCAGTCAAGACAAATGTCAGCAAAATGTGCCGACTTTATCTTATCATTGAAAAATCATAACATAAATGTATCTTAAATAAGGTCACTGTGGTGGGATGAACCACATAACATTATGCGTCCGTTAGCAAACCAACCTTCTTAGGTTGCGTAATTGCATTTACATACAACACAAATATAATTTTCAATTTAATTGGCCTATAGAATTGAGTAAGTATACAGGCATTATTTATTATTTAAGACAAAACTAATGTATTAATCACAATTATTTTACACATAGAACACTGATGGGCCTGAAGTGACGCCAATCGCGTTCTGGCCGTTTCCACTTGGTTGTCTTTCTCTTTCAACAGAACCATTTGCAGTTTATCCTGTTGCAGTAGGAAAATCATTTCTGTGTAAGATTAGAGGGTTGCATGATATGCATTGTAATACCAATATTTTTTTTCATACCTATAACATGTTTGTATTGATTGGTAAATGTATACTACACGTTATTGTAATACTGGCCATACTTAACACCAAGTATTGTTATCGCCTAACGACAATATTTATTTTAAATAAGTAGCCTTAGTTTAAAAAAAAAAATATTAAGTCTTAATATTTAAATGTAAAGTAATTAGCACAAATATAAATCTCCAGCAAAGTAATAGCAATTAACAATAAAAAAAAAATGGGTTAGCATGATGATTGCTTGGCAATATAAGAAAATAGTGATATATATTATGTACCAAGATTATCACAATAATAACGAATTTTAATATACAACAAAAAGTTCTATTTGTAACAACAAATTAGTCTCTTAACAGGAGCCGTGTCGGCTCTTAAGATATATGGTTCTTTTTTTTCTTCTAAGAAATCAATATTTGGTTTGTAAATAGTATTTTTTTTAATACACGTGTTGTTTATATTTTGCATACATGCACTGAGCTTTGAGAATCTGTCGTTAAATACCGAAATTATCGTCTACACGAGAATCTTTGAATCAAGACAAGTTATTTAAAAAAAAAATAAACTGTAAACGATCGCATAAATTCAAATCAAATAAACAATAACAAACAAAAAAAAAATTGATGTTTCAATATGTTTGCATACGCGTTTAGTATAATGTATGTTTGATACGGGCAAACAATTTTGTGTGTTATATATATATATATTATATTTAAACGTTGTGTTTTTTTAGTCGTACACGAGTACCTAGTACATTTTCACTTAGATTTTAAATCTAGACGAGACGTAAAAATGTACCACAATTTATTGGTTTCAATTGTAATTGCTGCGGTTGCCGTTACACGAGTACAACATGGATTTAGGGTAAGGGCGATGCCGGAGCCGCTGACACCAGACCAACTCGACCTGGTCGACGGTGTTTATCGACAACAATATTGGAACAATGATTTGTGGTTTACCTCGGTGAAAGACGAAGGAGACTGGACGGCCGTGGACGTTTTATGCAATCGACGATCTACGATCGAGGGATGGAAGCAGCTGCACTCGATGCCTGTGATGATGGGATGCAAATACGGTGTAAAATTCCATTGGTTTCTCTCGTTGGCCCTAATTGCCATTGGCGAGTGCAGCGAATTGTCGCGAAAGCAAGACGGCAACACTGGTCATTGCTGGTACAAACTTGTACAGGGTCTCCAAGAGGGTTCGTACACCATGTTGGAGGTGAAGAGCGCATTAAGTTACATCCATTCCACTATCGGCGACGATATCGATTCGGATGTATTCTACCAAATCGTGTCGACCGTCAGAGATTCCATCAACCAACACAGCGTCTCCGAATGCACCGTCTCGCTACCGAAATGCCTCGGTTACATGCAGCTGATGACAGACCATACGGTTAATTTGGGAATTTTTTTGAGTTCCAACTGTCGACCAGAGTACCCGCGGTTGAATATGAACGAATTATCAAATTTCAGTGAAAGGCGAATCCCCAGGGCTCACATCTATCGTTTGTATGTAATCGAAATGAAAGCCTACATGGAAGACGTAAGCGCTCATTTATTCGATATGGGTTTCAGGATTGAAGACGGATTGGGCAATTTATAATACTTTTACATTAAATAGTTCATAGATCTAATAGATACTCATTTGTTTATGCCACGTTAAATGTATATTGTTTTTAACTTATAAGGTTAAAATAAGCTTCTTCTTTACAATATCATTTTGAAGCCAATATGGACCTATGGTATTATTCAATAACTTCCAACACCAAAACAATTCAATCCTTCCAGTCTATACGCCTCAGAATAATTACAAAAGCCCCTTGGTACATTTTGAATAATGTTTCACCTCACTCCGACCTCAAGATAGCCAGGCGACTTAAAAGAAACTGAGCCCGAGATCTGCTCAAGAACGACTAAAATTAATGTTCTTTTATCTTATTAGGTGTTTCAATTGTGAGATTTCCTACTCATGTCTGTTTTTCTTTCTTTGTAGCCAACCAATTTACTAATTGTGCAAATTATTGTATAGATTGTAAATATTTTGTCAAATAATAAAGATGATTAATAACTAAAACAAAAATAACGAGGTTTTTTTATAAAAATAATTATTTCAATAAAATATTATGTAATAAAAGTCAAAAACACGATAATATACTATAAACAGTGTTTTAATTTTTTTTTAATAAAGCCGAATATCACTAGGCTTTGAATTTGGATAGTAGTGTTAGATTTGTTATCTATGCATTGCATGCAAAAAGATATGTGTTATAATATAATTTTACACTATCACAAAGTACCCAGTATGAATAAAATAATAAAATATTTACTCTTTAATTCTAATGTGAATGATTTGTTTATATTACCACAAGTGCTGTAGAAGTTTTTGTCTAGACAATGTAACCATACAAAAAAAAAACACTTGTTCAAATTTACAGTCCAGTGTATTATTTTTTTTCTGTTTAAAGTGTTAATGAATATTTTATTCTTACTATATATTATTACAAGTGTTGCTTAATTTTTCGTCTAGACAAAGCATCTATACTTAAAAAATTAGGGTTGAATACAATTTGAATTTTTTGTGCCAAAAACTATTGTATTTTGCTCATCTCTGGTGTACTGTTTCTAAATGCCCGTACCTGAGAAGCAGAAGGGTCAGCAAAAATAAAAACACATCTTTATGTAAAAACGATATCGTCTCAACTCAAGCTAAATGATGACTCTAGCAAACTGTCACTCAGATATTTTTGTACTTGTGATTAATTATAAAACAGGAGTAATACTAAAAACGCGGATTTTTTTAATATTGAGCTTAATCATTTATAGAAATTCATTAAAACATATTTTTTAAATGATTTTTTTTTATGATATTACTGTGGCATTTATTTCTAAAATGTCTTCGAAGTATAAGATAATATATTACACTTATTCTACAAACGATCAACTTATAAATTATAACATTGTTTTTGCCTATTATTATCCAATTAGACAATATTTGTTTAACAATCTCCATTTTTGCCTAACGGTCCATACGGTTATTGGCAATCGATGTGCTTAATACTTTCTCTTACTCGAGTTTCTAAACTCCTTAGGTAATAAATAAATAAAAGTCCAATTTTTTTCCTTTTCAAGTTAGCTATTTTTCTGTTTTAATTTATCAGTATAATCATATTTAAGTGTCACTAACGGGTGACTTCTTTACCAAATGTATCACACGTTTTATATTATATTATAACATATACGTCTTGTTGTGCTTTAAACTGCACAGTTTGTATATTTTCTTAATAAAAAAAAAAAAAAAAAAAATTATCCGTAGAATTGTGTTTATTTGCTCATGACTTGTTGACAAACCCTTCCTGACATCCTCACACCGACCCGTATAAAAGGCTAGACAATATTTTATATTTTACGGGTTGGACGGTTGATAACTACTGCACATTGAGCAGACGACAACTTAAACGCTAATGCCGTTGTCGGGGGGGGGGGGGGTGAGAGCTTTCGACCGGGCTATGAAAACGTTCAACATCCGTAACAACCTTCTCGTTGGGGGTAGGGGTAGATACTTGTCGACGGCGGTCCTGCAGGCAGCATCCCACGCGCGACAGGTGGCGGCGGCGGCGGCGGCAACGGGCGTTTTCCTGGCGACCTTTGAGCGCGCACGCTCGTCCGAGTATCGACCCCTTTGGCGTGCTGGCGCAAACGAGCCACCCCCTGCCCCGTCGCGTCGGGAGGGTGGTCGCGAAAACAGTATTATTACACCACTGCCCGCGGCGAGGGTGCCGCCACAACTCGACTACCAGTGCACCGGGACGGTACACCGTTTGTCTCTGTTGAACGCACCCCCCCTTTTTGAGCGCACGCACGCACGCCATGAACTTGTTGACTACGGTGTTGTTGCTGTCGGCGGCCGTGGCCCAACTGGGACACGCGGTGCCCGCGCCCGGCAAGACGGACGCGGCCAAAATCCAAAAGAACATGGCCAAGACCAAGGGCAAAGGTAGGGCAACAGCGCACTTCTTACACCCGTTCGGTGGTGTGCGAGTGTGTGTGTGTGAACACACCTGTACGCTACTCGTGTACGTTGCATTGTACCGTTTTGTTTTTTTCTTTTCTTTGTTTCCGGCAGCCAAAAAGACCCAAGAAGTGTTGCAATTCGGAAACCAGCAAAACCGGCAGGCCGACACCAGGAACTACGCCAGGGCCGAGAAACGCCGTGAGTTGTTTTTATTTTTTTTTCTCCGCATTGACCTTGACCGTGGTTGGGAGGGGGTGGGTGAGGGTTGTCGTCATATTACAGGATCACGCGTCCGATGTAAGACCGTTGGTTTTCTTGGAAAACGTGAATATTTTGAAACCATTTTAGGTACACGTGTCTTACTATTTTTTTCAACGCTTTGAAAACGTCCGATACCTTCATCCCTTACGCGCGATTGCCCGTTGAATAAGTGTCGAAAAACATATAGTAAAATATGTACCGAGAAAATGAGCGCCTGGATCACCCTGTACACCGGCGGCACCACGGTTAGGTTAGGTTGAAACCATTGAACGTTTGTCTGGATTTTCGGAGCTTACATATTATTATTATGTTTTTGCCCGCAGAGGACCCGGAAAGTCGTCACGACCCCGAACCGGTGCCTGAAGTGAACAACGCTCAGGAAAATTACCCGCAATCGGCCAGACACGAGAAAATCGCCGACCTGTTTTACAACCCGGGTACGTACACACTACACACCTTATCCAATATGATGCAATCACTAGATGGTACCACCACCCCCCCCCCCACAGCTGTTCAAAGGGTTGACGCTTTGTAGAGTTCTGATGGAATTGAAATGAGTATAGTTTCAATAGTACACATTTTCGAATGTTTGCACTGTACTATGGGAGAGTCATTACTAAGTTAGCACCAAAGCAATTATATATATATATATATATATAATTGCTATATATAATTATATATATTCCTATAGACCTCCTGAGGCCTCACCCGTTCAAATATGGTCCATCCCCGCCATGCTCCGACCCCACTGTACTGGCTTTTCAAATATTATTATTGCGGATATATTTGTCATTTTTTATAGGTATCCGTAAAACGCGCCGCATCGTCTTATATATATAATGATATATAATGTTTTTATATTGAAAGCGATAAAATCACTTTCAAATAAACGCTTCGATGCGAATCTGTATATATATATATATAGATATATATATAAGCATTGTCAATAACGTGCTTAAAATTGTATTTTTTAGTATAAGGGTGGATACGATTAGGGTTGCTCGTCTGTCTATAATAGTTTATTGCCACTAATCGTCACTAATAACAATTAATGAAAATATTTTCAAATACCTGTGACTGTCGATTCGCTCACACATAGCAACCTATGATATTGATCACGGCCAAAGTGTAACTTTTCCCTTATTTTAGGAGGTTTTCTTTGACAAAAAAAAAAAGTTTTGAATACACATTTTTGTGAAAATTGTACATGCTTAGACCCATCTATTCTTATTCTACCTTTGGTCTAACTTTTAGACCTTTAACCCTAAGATTTCACAGAAACCAAAAGATTTATGATGTTTTTTAGTTAGTCTTCAACGTTTATCGGTAGTACTACCGACTACGTCTAAAGAATATTCCTTACAAATTTGAAACTAATTCGCCATAATTTTAAGCTTAAAATGAAGTACATTTTTTGGGTTTAGTTGCTTTTGAATGGGAAGGGTAGAATTTTTAAAACATTTTTTCGCCCAAAGAAGTTTCTATAGGATAGATTTTGTTAATAATAATTTATTTATTTACCAACCAGGAAAAGTATTGAAAAATATGTTTTTTTTTTATCTTCTCTATTTGTTGATTGATTTATGATTATTATGGATACAAAACTAAAATATTGGTTAATAAAATAACTTGTAATAAATATGTATAGTAGGTTAAGTTAGATAATATAGGTATACAGGGAAGAGCACATTGTAACTGAAGTGGATTTTATGTTTTCAACGATAGGATCATTTTGATTGACGACGGAACAAGGTCTAAGAGTGGAATTTTGTTTTTCTTCAAATGGGAAAATAAGAAATAATGAGAATAAATGAGCCACGGCGATGACGGAAGCACGCAGAATGATTGAGTGGGAATGTTAAGTGGAGTGTGACCTTTCTGTACGGTGAGAGGAGTGCTTTTGTATCTCTCTGTTATTCTTGATGAGTAAAATAAAAATGATATTGCATTTTTTTTTTATATTTTAACTAAAATACGACGTATAAAGGAGAGCTTTGGACGATGGACACGCTATTTAATAATTGAACGTGCTCGGGCCAGCATAGTTGGCACATATGGATTTTTTAATATTTTTTTTTATAAGTTTTCAAACGTCAGTGACGGGCGGTCACTTCCCGGTTTGACGCAAGCGACAAGCTTAAGTATGTCACGTCGAATAAAAAACTAAATAAATAGGTTGCAGTAAAAAAAAAAAACTAACTTAAGTACACTACAACAGTAGCGTGTTATTAAAAATGTAAACATACGTCACGTTGCCTCGAATAAAAAATTAAAAAATAAAATGTTAAAGTATTTTAATGGAATATGCTAATAGTATTCAAAAGGCAAACCGTCATTCAAGACAGATTATTTATTTAAAGCGAAAAAAGTAAAAGATTACTTGTCTTTTAGTGTTTAAGTGATCGTCTTGCATTAATCTACTCGGCCAAGGTTTTGTTTACACCGAGAAAAGTATTACATATATATAGGTATATATATATACTCACAGCATTACAACGGTTTTTTAGTTAATTAGAAAGATTAATCATTTAAGGGGTTATTTTATTCAACAAATGATTGCAATATTACTCTAAATATTGTGAGACATTTTTAAAATTGATCTATGCATTTATTAATTATGGAAATTATTTTTGTTAAAAAAAAAACTATTGAATAATTATATTATTTTTATGAATGTGTCGAATTATATTATGTTTTTAAACTAAATTTACTACTTAATTTAATTACTTAAAATTTACAAAATGATAAATATTTATTCGATGATCCTAAAATAAAAATTTTAAGTTTAAAAAATGTATTGAAAACAAAAAAGGAATAATGCAGACAAATGACATTTTTGCAATATGAAATATTTTATTTTCAAACTGTTTTATTAACATTTTTTTTTTTATAAAATACCTTTTAAAAAACCTTTTTTTTACTTAACCGTTGTTTTGTTCTATTAAAATAATATAAATCATTTAATTAAAAAAATAGTTTGTTAAAACATTTTACTTATTTTTTTTATATTAACCTATATTAAAAAGCATAACTTACATAGTTAATTAGCAATTAAAAAGCTGTCATTAAATAGTTTATTAACGCGATGAGACGTTATTTAAATATTTTATATAATGTAGTAAAAATGTTTCAACGTTACTCTTTTTAGCTTTTTTATTCAATTTTTTTTTTGTTACTTAACGTTGTTTTTATACTAAAAAATGTTTTTGATTTTTGTTACAAACGCTACAAGTCTTGTTTTATACGATTTTGTTTAGACTTTCTAGTTCAACATATTATATTCTTAAATATTCTATAACCCAATCGGATGGTATTTTTCAGACATTTGAAACTTTAAAATGGCATTTCATGAAATTTAAAACTCCATTGCCGTTAGAATTCTAATGAGTGGTTTTTCTTATTGTAATTTATTTAGATTCTTATGGACACCAGACACTCGATATCGATGACCGTTTCAAGAGGAACGCCTATCACTTTGGGTCTCCGGTGAAAAGGAGGTGAGTGGTTTTAAGACGACGGTTTGAATTATGCATCAAACCTTTACTACATATTTATTAGTACCCAATGTGTATACTGCTTACCCGTGTATACTAAAGGGAAACTCGGTAGTCTTTGACGTCGACGGTTTCATGAAAAATACATTAGGTTTAAAATTGTATACAATCCATTTATCTAGAACGGAAAATGTGAGAATGATAAAATACAATAGTTTACCGTTTACTTCATTGGCGCCATTTCGCTTTTGAAGAGGGGAAGAATGGCTGACATCCGATGGACTTTGTCCTTCCCCTACGCCCCCCCCCTCTAAATGTTTTTGATTTAAGGGGATTGCACGTGGTCTGTTTTTCCCAAACCGAAAAGCCAGACAAAATTTCGACTACTTAGGATGGACCGATTTCAATTTTGTAAAGTTCTTTGGCGACTTTACTAGGTTATACAGGAAACGGGTTTATGGTTTTTTCTTTTTTATGTAAACAAATTGGGGATTTAATATTCGAAAAATAGCAAATTTAATTATAAGAAACTGAAATGTTTAAATGAAATAATTTTCCCTACATAACCTAGTAAAGTTGCCAAAGAACTGGAATTTCTTTATAGAATTGAAATTGGACCATCCTAAGAAGTCGAAATTTTGTCTGGCTTTTTTTTGGTTTAAAATAAGCCAAAATGACTTTTACCCGTAGAAAAAATTATATAAATTGAAAACAATACATTGAAGCTTATACAAATTAACCGACATGGTCGAAATTGATTAAAAACCACTTTTCTTCTTAAATATTGCCTATACAATACTCCTTAAATAGAGACCACATACAATCCTCGATGAATTGTTTTTTTTGTATAATCGAAAAGGGGTTTGAAGGCTTTTTTTTATACAATTTTTTTTTTTTATATTTCTTTAGGGTAGTTTAATAAAAATGTTTTTTTTTTATATTACTATTTAGTTATTGGGCATATCGGCCGTACGTGGACAATGGACGTGCAAAGCGTGACTTGAACATCGAGCCAGATGATTTGTTGGCAATGTTTTCACTCTGGGAAGCAGAACGCAGGCAAAAGGCTCACGACCAATCCAGGTGTGTAGCTAATAATAGTAATGACAGTAAATGTCGGCATTGAACATGTTATGGATGGGATAGGTTACACGAGTATTAATTTTTACTCGAATTCCAAAAATATGAGACTTAACTTTTGGGAAAAGCCAGTAGTTTGTCGAATCACAGACACACAGTTATTAGCAGCTGAAACTTTAAATTGGTTAAATCATCCCCTGACAGAGTTATAGGTATACACTTAAGCTATTTTAAGCGCTTGAATCCAAAACATCCCCAAAAGAGCGTAATAAATAAAAACGGGCCTCCTTCTAGATCTAAAGGGATACCTAATGTTTTATTTTTCGAGACTTTAAATGCTGATCAGAAGGGTTGCTTACAAAAATAAATCAAATTTGGAAATAATTCAATTTTTTGTTTTTGGAAAGTTAAAGTATACTTATATTAAATATGATATTAAAGGAAGTTTATCTCACAACTTTTAAGGGGTAAAATTTTTCAATATTAATTCAAAACAAATAGTTAACACATTTTAGGAAAATTTTATATCAACTATATTTATTTTGGTATTTGTAATTGGTAATTAACAAAATTCACCATTCGTCTAAAAAATATTAATATTTTAAAAGTATTTGTTATTATTGAAAAAAACAAATTGTTCAAAAAACCTTTTTTAGAATGAAAAGGTATAAATATTCTTAAAATATAGAACAATTATTATTATACTATAAGTAAAATATTAGAAATATTTGTATACTGTAAGATGTTAAATGTTTATAATGTTTCTAAGACAATTAATATTGTTTCGGTAAATACTTAACAATTTGTTTTAGTTTAAAATGCATAAAAATGCATTTATCATAGGAATTAGCCCGATTTTGATTGACGGTTAAAAATTTAGTTGGTTCTAACACAACAAAATAGAAAAAAACCCAATCTTTTCAGATTCGCATTTAAAACAAATTTCACTGTATATTATTATTACAATTTTTTTGTTATGTTTGTTTTCGGTAGTAATTTTTACTCGGCTGTGTATTTTGTGTTTTCTATTGCCCAAAAGGGAGGTTTTAAACATATACTTTGATATGAATTTTGTGTGTGGGCTTCAAAATAAATATTTTTGATCATTCAGTACGTACAACAGACACATTGTGTAATATGCAAAACGTTGTCGAAAGAATGACAGTAAATGTTCAGTTTCTATTTTGTATTCTCAACACAATCACTATATAAACGAACACAAAATGAACTTCTGTACATTTCACATACTTACATATGCAAACATCAATTTTCAAGTTTCCCAATTTTTGACTTCGGTTTTACGGTAGGCGAAAATCTAATCCGGTATTTCACCGGAAAAACAACACTGGTGATGTCTTACAAAACTGCAACACACAAAGACTAAATCTTGTTTCTGAGATGAGCAAACTGTCACTCAAAAAACTCTAGTAACTTTTTTTTTTTAATAGAATACTAAATTTGAAGTATTACCAAATTTTGCACAACAAACGATCGAATATGTTTCGCATTTTTTTTTTGTGTGAGTTTATATTATCTAATTAATTCATATTTCTCAGCAATCTCCATCTTTGCCTTACAGTTATTGACCATTATGATGCTTCATCCTCATTGGCGCAACTAGAGAGGGACTAAAGAAGTTCAGACAAATTATAAACCTTATTTGGGAGCTGTGCTTGATTGGTTGCTGACATTTTTTAGACCCTGAACAAGTTTAGAATAACTGGACCTTCACTAGCTCCCCACTAGTTGCGCCAATGTCCATCCTTCCTCTTAATTTAATACTGACATCAGTCAAATAGAAATGGCTAGCGTGCAAAAACAATATTAGCTATTTAGTTCAATTACAAACTTTTGATTAAAAATAAGTTACATTTATGCGATTGGCAATTATGATACATTTTAAATGACAATTTAATAAAAACAGCCATTGTTTTTTTTTATTATTTAACTATTTCATTATGAAATAGAAGGCCAAACGACGCTTGGAGCCGACTAAAATAATAATTTTATTGTAACAATATTATTACAATAGGAAAAAAAACAACTGCGAGTTGTCAATACAACAATATCTATCGAGGAAAAAAAGTAGACCTTAATTATTAAAAGTCAGTGTTTCATGGTCTTACATATAAGATCAAAGAGGTTTAAAAATTTAACGGTGCCTACAGCGCTGCAACTATTCGTGTTATTGCAGTTTCTTTGTCTTTGAAAATGTTCTAAACGTTGTAATAGCTATAGTATAACAGTTTTACTAAATGTTACACAGCCTATGACAATCATTTTTAATATTAAACCCTAGCTTATGGTCGGAAATTGATGAACTGATGGTAGAATTGTCGCGTGCCTATTCTTTGATCTTATTAAAAAAAAAAAAAAATGGTTTAACATATTTAGTTATTTAAGCTACATAATTTAAGCTATTAGTTTTATCCAATTCCGACACAAGTTTTTATTATATGTGTCTGCATAAGTATTACGTAGCAGCAAACCTAGAAATATATATATATATATATTTCTAAATTAGTGTGTATGAGAATGAGCCAACCCTCAGAAGTCGATAACAATGTTGTATTTTAATTGTTTATACTATTTGTCAAGTAAATAAAAATAATATTTTGTCGGGAAATCAGACATTAATGCCATTTTTCCTCAAGACTGCAAAAAACAATGTAAATATTTAGGAATCGTTATTGAAATATTATTTGCGTTTATTTTTTATGTTTTATCATCGAAATTTAATAAAAAATCGTTTATTATGCAATTTGTTTTTTAAGGGGCTCTCGGCAACATTATGGTCACATGAACGAATTCGACCCAGAACCTTACCTCGAAAATGAAATGACGGACGAAGAAGATAATGAAGAAATTCCGGGTAAGCACAATTCATCAACCGATACATCTTATTTTCTATGTACTTATGCAAATTATTGTAACCTATATCTGTTCATAGAAGGCTGGTTGGAAGGCCCGGTTGTGCCAGCTCCTGCTTACACCACACCGAACAAGTACTACGGCAATAACGGGTTTTTGCGCAAGCAAAGGCAAGCTCAACACGGGCCCAAAGTATGATGTTGGTAAAACAAAGTTTGCACATACTCATATGAAAGCGTAGAATGATTATTTTCAGGGCCTCAGTCACCTCCAAGAAGAGCCACAATACTTTAGAATGCCAGACTATTATCGCCATTACAACTTTTAAATAATAAAATCACATAATATATTATATTATATTATTATATATGTAACTTCAGCCGTCTATAAATGGTATAATAATACAATATTATAAAATTATACATCGACAGCAAATACACAATTTATTGCACAATATTATTTTAAACAAACACTAATAAAATATAATCTATTTTATTGCAGAAATCAAAATCAGAGAGAAGTTCTACTTGTTTATTATTTAAAGTATAATATTAAATTACATTGTTAACAGCTAAATCAAAATTATACTATCTTAAAAATATAAAAATAAATATTTATTATATTATTTTAAATGTGTGATCTTAAAAACTATTTAAGACAAAATTATACAATTTTAACGTGTTGTCGTTATTATTATTATAATTTTTTTGACATTAGAATTATTTTGCTTTATTTTTTTTTTACCTATATACTATAAGAAAGAGATTATCATTGTAACACATGAAAAGAGTATAAGACAATTTTATAAATTTCACATGATAACAAAATGAAAAACATTAGTTATGGTGAGAACGGATTTGGCTGGCCGACACCATTTTTATAAGACAAGGTCTTTGTTGTTAGTTTTTGTTGAAGATTTATTCAATATTAATATTAAATTTGGTAAAAAAAAAAAATTAAGAGATTGTAATAGTTAAAAGTTAACAGATTTGTTTAAATCTGGCCAAACGTGTTGAGTATTAAGGTTTGGTTTGAAATCAATAGATTCGGTTTAAATTTGGTTTTAGGAAAGGGGCAAGTACTTCTCTAGTCTATAAAGAAGGGTTAAAGTTAAGTTGATTATAGCCTCAAAAGTATCTAAAAGAGACTTAAAATATTGTCTATAAGTACTTCTTACTGTTCTCCCATTTTGACATATTATCACATGGTACGTTTTAGGACTGTCGCGTTTATGGAATGAGAAGTGATCCATCTGATGACTTTTATGGGCTATTGGATTTTGGAAAACCTAAAACACATGACGGCAGTAATTATAAGAGGAAATATAATATATTTTGCAAATCCATAGTAAACTGACAGATTGATGAAAGTTAAAAATTCAAACGCTAGCATTTTACTTTCTTGATTTTAAAAATAAACAAGTAAGTTTGGTAATTGAAATGTAAAACAAATTGACGTTGATACCTTTAAGAGCTTGTTGTGAATAGGGAAAGAAACAAAATGCCGGACACTAATATAAGAGAAGATAGACATTTGTCATTAGTTTTAATATAAGATAATTTACTGGTAGATAGGATTTCATACTTATGTGGTGTTTAATGCTTTGAATTAAAAAAAAAATCTGTGTGTTACATCTCATTAACGGTTAATTTTCAATTTTCTCTTAAGCTATATGAGATAGAAAGTTGATTCTAAGCTCATCAGAAAGAGCTTGCCAAGAAGACACAAAATATGAATTGAAAAAATGAAAAATACATTTTTTAAGTTTTTACAATTGAAAAACATTGTCAATTTTGGCTAAATTTTTCTTTAGCCAAGCAGATATATTATCTGAAATGAATCGATGAACGCATTTCGTTATTTAGAGTCTTGTAAGAAACGCCTTGGCAGTGAAAAGTTTTTGGAACTTTATCTGATTTAGCTCATTTAAATCAAATTTGTATATTATAAAAATACATTTCCTCTCCCTAATTTTTCATATTTTCTGAATTAATCAATAATGAAAGGTTTTTTTTAAAAATAATTCTCCAAAAATTAATAATAAAGAAAGACTAGTCCCCGACTTGGCAAGTGTTTTTAAAAAAAAATGTTGGCTACATATTTATGGAATTAAAAACATATGTCCATACTTGTTTCACGTGTGAGGGATGAAGATGAAATTTGTGAATGTATTGAAAAATATGTATCATATAATATACTTATACTAATTAATTTGCTCTGAGAAAGCGAGTGTCTTTCATCCAGACGGATCACGCTGTATAGTTTTGATGTTTTCAAGACATGAAATCTGTGCACGTCACACAGACTGTAATATATTAACTCTGACAATCTATATCGTGTTGAAAGTATAACAAGTGGCGCCCCGTCTAATCTTGGCAGACGGTCGGACTGGCAAATGAAATTTATGGAAACGATAATGATATTATTACTATTCAAAATTTGCGGTTCGTCTGGTCGGCCGTATCGAATGTATATATATGTATCTTGTTTTTGTTTTTTTTTTTTTGTAATTTACATTTGACCCGAGAACAACGTTTTATCACTTGCGCTTTGGCAACGCCCAAAGGTATTTTGGATTCTGCGGTTGGAAGATCATCATCCATCACCATTACTCGATCGTCGGCTACAAAAATGCCCACCGGGCAAAGGCACATTCCTCCGGTATGGCTATTAATAATAGACATACTTACATGATATTGTTGTTATTAATCTCGAGGTTTAAGTAAACAACATGTATAATTGTGTTCGCAGCGTTCGCATAATTCCTTAAGCGAAAAACCAAAACCATGCTTTTGAGCATTTTTTTTTTTTTTACAAATTTATAATCTTAACCAAGGCGCGCGAGTCAGAATTGTAATAGGGGATTGCTATATTACTATATTGTTATTAATAATTCATCGCGCGACAAGACATGACGTTTATTTTTAGCACCAACAACCGAAACACACTAGGTGGAACGTTGCACTCTATGCAATTGTAGTTTTTGCACTTAACGTCTGAAAATCAAACCCAAGGTAAGACGACTGTGTGACCCTTTGTGATGGCTATATTATACTGATCTCAGACTTTCTCCACCACGCCTTGTTATGGTTAAATCGCAAGCAAAATTAAAAAAAAAAATTATCCTGTGGTATTTTTCAGCTTGTTCTGTACATTTCAAACAATTTTTTTTAAATGTATTTCAAATAGATTTTATTTGTAATTCCTTCACTGAATTCAGAACTGATGTCTGAAACTCATGTAGTATTTTTTTTTTTTACAACAAATAAAGAATACTAGAAAATTCTAGTGTTTGAATTTTAAGCTGCTTACAACTTTGGTGACCAATAAAAAATTTATCGAACAAGTGGTCATTTAATAAAATTTCTTTTAAACAAAAAAAAGGGTTCGAATAATGCCAACAATGTAAGTAATTACAAATTACTATGTTTTTTGCTTGTACAAAAATATTATTATATTAACAACCATAAAGTTTCTAAGGTATCTAATTGCCAATACTGTGCAAGCGACGCTTTTATCGAAAATAGAATACTAGTGTCAACATTTTTTCGTGGTGGGCTGAAATCTTTCTGCATTTGATTGCTTCACTTAAAACAAAAAATGTTGAATGCAGTATAAAGTCAAATTCTTAAAAGAAACTAATAATTTTGTTTTATAAATTATTTAACAAAGTCAATTTGTTTTAAACAATTGTACGGGTTCTATATAAACCATGCAATCTTGGTTAGGCGTGCGACAGTTTTGAATATTAAATTTAATGTGTACAATAATAATTTTAAACCAAATATAAATTGTACTTTGTCTAAAATAGTTATTATCACGACTTGGTAATATGCTGTATAGTTTTCACTGTGTTCGCCATTATCTTATTCGGTGGTTTACTGATTTCTAGCTGTATCCGAATCGTCTTGGTCGTTTTTATTTCTTGAAATTGGGCACAGCAGTTAAGCTGGCAAAATCGCTTTTCCGGTCATCTTATGACAAGCCACTGCCATTGACCAGTTAAAAAAAACAATTAAACAAAGTTTTATACTGTTTTTTTTTTTTGTTAAATTTTTATTACAATGCCATTAAGACGCCAAGTCCGTAAAAAGCAAACGATAAATCAATGAGAAGATTTTTAACTTGACGTTTACTGTGGTTAAACGTAAATAGTTCACCCGTGGGCTTTTATGGACCACATTATGGTTTACAACAACAAAACGACAAGATATTTATGTGAAAAATCAGACAATGAGGCCCTTAGTAAAATGATGCGTGGTGGCAATTAGCGATTTTTTACGTTTTTTTAAATTAATAATTTACCTAAAAATGGCTGCAATTGAAAGGGCTGTCGGCTTTAACGGTATTTGCCGTATCATGCGTACAACGAAGCAACTAGATTTACAAGTCATCTGTCATATGGTAGTTACAAAGTTAAACTATAGGAAAACTATAAAACGAATTCCCATAAAAAAAGGTTGTATTGTGCTTACACGAAACTGTCAAATCTAAAAATACCCCAACGTCAATAATAAGTGTAATTTTATGCCATTCGCATATTCTCAGAAGATAAATTTTTAAATTGGTAAGACAATACGCGAAATATTTGCTTTTACCGATTTTAGTCTGAACCAAGGTTTTGTTTAGTATTCATATTCTAAATTCATAATTACTATAATATATATATATATATATATCACTTACAAGGTATTTCAAAACTTAGTATGATTGGTATGATTATAATATTATTCCCCCAACAAACACAAATTGATTGAATGTACTTCTGACCTTACATGGTAAAAAAATTGATGACTGTTTCGTAAATATAAATACAAAATGAGCATTTAGCAGATTTAAAATTTTCTAGCTTAAACATATAGTGAAAACACAATATGAACATCAGGTCACACAATGTTATAAACATTGATGAACTCTGGTGCAAGATAGACAACTCATTAATAAATATGAATTCATATATATATATTATATATTTTAATATTATAATTTTTAGCGAAACAATAAGAAGTCTTATTTTAAAAGTAATAATACCTTCAATCAAAAGCTTATTATATTATGTAAACATCAAACAGATCATTTCAGTAGAGCAGTTAAAAATATTTTCTGAAGAAAATAAATCCATACCTAAACAACAAGTTTATCACTGTATTAGCTACATACCGTTCACTTCAATCCAATATGGACACTTGAATAGACGAAGTTGTAACTAATGTTATTGGTTCAAGGTCGGTCGATACAAATCGCATGTAGATAGCAAATACAAACGTTGACATAATATTAAGAAATAATAAGTTAAATCATAACGGACATTTTTTTAGATATTTTATCATAAAACGAATTTACTTCACAAATTAACTGTGATATTATGGTGGGTAATAATTTTATTTTCAGTTGAAAATGATTAACTTGAGATAAATTGAATATAGAGATAATCAATGAAAGCAAAATAATTCCAACCAAATGGAATGATTTCTAATTCGGCCTTCAGATATAAATCAACAAATCGTATTAGGAAAACAAAAGAACGGCACATGTGGAAATAAATTAAATAACTGTAAAGGTAATAGACGAGAAATATATATCAAGTAGTTAATGAACTGACAAGTCTAGAGAGAACTTCCGAGGTCATACAAATATAATTGTTAACAAGTATCCAGTATCTACACCTCGTGAGTACTTAAATATAGTAAATACATACTTCGTGACAATTAGAAAATATAGACTATAAAACAATAAAAACAGTATGACGATAAAGCCACTGACTATATGAAAACAGATAGCTCACTCAGCATGTAAACAAAAACCACGACCGAAAATGATATCAGTGTGACCACAGATTCAAGCGTGAATTTTTTATAATAACATCACAGATTAGACAAAAAGAAATAATCTAATCTGCGGTAATACATAGCCCGGTTAACGATCGACAAAGAGTGTTTGTACAATATTATTGTAAGCTATCCGCACGGTATTTTATACTATTTCACGCGGCTACGCTGATTCCGTCGCCACTGAAAAAACGTGATTGTCCCCATCGCCCCATTGTACCTACACTCTTGGGCCTTTTGCTTTAGGGTTGATCCGGGGGTCAACTTTGGGGGGGTGTCAGCGCGGTGACACACGCCGGCCTTGGCGTGCGGTCGTCGTCCACGATAACTGCACGGTGCACACGCCGGCTATTATAAAACACCGTACGGCCACGATGGTTCATAGGAACCAGACAAACCGGTGTGCATATAAGACGCGTGTAGGTATATACGATGTACATGTATGTATATTATGTGTGTGTGTGTGTGTGTGTATATAGGTATACGTATGTACATAATGCGGTAGGATGCGAAAGGTGCACACGGCAGCGGTGACGGCGACGGCGGTGCCCGTAGAGTTCGGGCTGACAAACAGTCGGGCGGTCGTGGGACGATCGTGTTGTGCAACCGGTTCGTAGTATTATTATTATTATTATTATTAGTCGGCGGCCATCGTTTCTGTTTTTTTATACTGTTTAAACAATTTTTTTTATCATTCAACCTCAGTCCTCAGTGCGTTCACGTACACGCGGACACGGTAGTTTTGCGTTGCCCGCGTGCGTTAGCCGGTGTGTGTGTGTGTGTGTGTGTGTTTAATATTATAATATACATTATACCTACATTTTTTTTTTTTTATCATCGTTTCGGATGACAACGATAACGATAATAGACAATATTAATAATTTATTGTATTTGGCATGCCCAAAGAGAGTGCCGCCGCTCAAGTCATCCCCGTTTAGGATAATACTCTGGTGACGATGATGAGCTACAGGACGCCGAGGGAACACTTCACCGAGGGAGTAAGTCGTTCTTACTTGTGTTATAGTAATATTATGTCTTATTATCCAGCGGCTCGATTTTCACCTGCCAAGTAGAGTGCAAAATTCGGTATTTTTTTTTTGTTTTACACCTTACACACTCTGTTCGGTGACTTCACGTCCGCCGGTGTTGAACCCTATTGGCCGTGGTGGTCAGTGAACTGAATGACCGGTGGTCGCACGCATGGACCATGCAACAATTCACTATGGTCACGCTGCCCGGATCGACAGCGACTGCATCGAGGAACGATTGTATACAATATACTTTTTACCTAAAAAATTAAAATAATAAAAAAAAAAATCAATCCGACTCGGGTCTGAATTCGACAATAGGATTGCTCTCGTCCTGTCCGATAAGAACAAAAACAAACGCACATCTTCGTCGTAGAAAGACTACTTAGCCGAGAAACTTTTTCTTTATTTCTCAAACTTTTAGCACTCGAGGCCTGAAAACTGCGCCGACGGTAAACCGAGTGTGAGGTGTAAAACATTTACGATTTTCTTGGAAATCCGAAGAGGAACTTTTTTGTTGTATTAAGAAAAACCGCCCAAAATAAGAGGAAAATTACACTTTGGCCGTCAACTTTGGTTCTAGAAAAATTTGTTCATCATACTATTAAATGCGGTATACCTATAGGTAACAACCCTAATCGTATCCCCACACTAATACTGAAAAAAATAGTTTTAAGGACAATATTGGCAATGCTTGTATGTCTACAGATAAGCGGCGAAGGGTTTATTCGAAAGTGAAATGATCACATTCAGTTATAATAATTTCTATAAACCTGTGACCTTACTGTACTGGCTTTTCTTATTTACAACCTTACTTAACCAATGCAGATGACCAAGCAAAGATGTTATGGCCGGCGAGGTACCATTTTGTCTTGTTTAGACAGTCATTGTTCCTTGGCCTACAAATCTATTAAGTTATGAGAAATTTAATAAGTTCCTTTTTGAAAAATCACTCTTTCGAATCTTTATTCTTATAAAAAAAGAAGACAGTCCTCTTTTTCGATGCTTTTAGATAAATCACAGTTTTAAAATAGTACCCAATCAATAATTCGTAAACATTTTTCTACTTGCAGTTGAAATTCAAGTATAACATATTAGATTACCAGAAAACACAAGAGCAGCCCACAAGTTGTCAATATAATTGATAACGACCGACGATAGCTGATATTATCATCAAAGTTTTAAAAGTTTAAAAGTTAAAACGATAAGAGCCAAAAGTACAATCAAAACTCTTATTATTATCAGTGCTGTAGTTTCTTTTTCCTAAAACCGAACGATCTCAAAAAAATAAAAACTAATATCTAAGTACTATTATTATGAAAATACCCACCGAAAAAATTTAAAGAATGAACTTTTAGTTTTCGTTTGTCTTTCTCCAAAATAAAGAAATTCGTTCTAGTTTATTTTTTTTTTTTTTGTTCTTTGGTTGCAAAAGGAAATAACATTAACGCCATGTTTACAAAACATATTTTGTTCACCCACGACCAAATCCTTATTTGGTCTATCGTAATTGCTGTCCGTAAGCATCTCGACGAGCGTTTAACACCTTACCGAGTAGTCTTCCTTTAAAGTGGATGGGACGTAAAATCCACCCTCCCCTCCTATCCCACGGTCCTCCCATCCCTTCTTTCCTATACTCCCTGATCTACCCTATAGTCTTCTGCTTCCTCCTAACCTAACCTTACCTATTTAATCCAAATCAGTCATTATCAGCCACATCACTATATACTCTTATCATATGTATCTTTTCTCATATCACTGACTATTATCGCTATTTTAATAACACTAATCCTTTTTAGTCAATTAGCAATCTAGTTAGTTCAATTTATCTGCGTTTTTTCAGCTGTTTCTTATCAATATTGGGTAAAAATCGTGACCGAGAGCGTGGCCCAGCGATAAAACACATGCATGTTATAATAGTATTAAAATCAATATTTTCCTCTTGCATCAGAGACCGGCTGTGAATAATAATAATTGTCGTTAAAAATTCGTTTCGACCAGGGTTTTTTGTGATGTACACGACGGCATAATAATATCGTGTTTGTTATCGACACATAAGTTATTACCACCTTATTAAGATTCCAATTGATGTGTGTGTGTGGTATAGTGTGAACACTGGCATTAGCGAACGGTGTCAGAGAAAATCCGACACCATACACACTTGGGTGTTTCGTAAACGATTGCTAGTAACGCGACACCGGCATCCGTACCTGGAGAATACAAGGCGCCAAAAACGTTAAGAGTATAATATATAATAATAGTAGCTATTATTATTATTATTATTGAAAGTCATAACGCGAAGGACACGGCGCTAATAGAGTCCCTGGTAAGGCGGTAATGAGCGAAAATCCACTCCGTGCTGGGCTAATAGAACATTAAAGCGAAAAATAAGAAATTTAAAAAAATGCTTACAGAAAACGCGCAAAGCAAGTGTAGTGTATCCGTTTAACGCTTTTCCACGCGGACGTTCGTACCTACTACACAGTACGTTATACCGACGGTCTTGTCATGATCAAAAAGGTAATAATAATATCATCATTCTCACTCGTTTCGACACACAATAGATAGATAGATAGATAGATAGATGCACAGATCCGGGTTAAGGACAGGCTTTTGTTGCGGGCCACGTGGACACCACAGCAAGCAGTGTGTTCCATTGAGGACACTGCGACCAATTTTTTTCGGTCGTGTTAATAAGTATATAAACACATGTAATAGGTATGCCATTTTTTTGAAAATTCGAAGAAATAGAAATACCGAAATTCTTTCCACACGGAGATAACATAAAAATATACACGAATAAAAAAATATTTTTTTGTATACATCATAAAAGAGTTGCAAAATAGCATAAGTTACCATAACAAAATTATTTTTAAATAAAATTGATGGTAGTTTAATTAAATTATAAAAAAAAAATATTTAAAAGCATTTTAAGCAGTCTTTGTTTTTTTATTTTTAACCAATCGAGATTCTAACCAATTAAGAACCAATTGACATAATTTGTAAATTCATGTATGATTTTCTCGGGGCCAAGACATTTGCAATAGCCGTTTGACAAAACCTTGCTGTTTTTAATCATCACGTAGATAATAAATACTGTTTTTAAAAATAATTTTTATACTTGAAGGGCACAGGAATGATAACGGGCAAGTCACTTTTTTAAAAATGGCTATTTTTGTTGTTATAAAATTCGGTTTGAAACGAAACGGATATGTTTTTTTTATTTTTAAACAAAAATTGAACATTTTTTTAAAGGTGTTTTTCTTGTATTAAAAAAAAACAATATGTCTTTCCTGTTTTTTTCCCTGTGTGCTGTATATTTTCTGGAAGCTGAACTAAATATTTTAGAAAACAGTTATATTTTAAAATTGCTTTGCGGACTAACCTGTTCATTTGCTTATGAAAATTTGCTGATACATTTGTTTTTAATTTTTATCGACTTTATTGACTAGAATGTCAATTTGTATTTTAACTTGATGATCTGAAAACGAGAACGGCAAATTAAAATCGAATTATTTCGAATGGTGTTTAATTGAGTACTCTTTTTTTTTTTTATTCAATTAAATTGTGCGCGCGCGCGGATAATTAAATTTCGAAACTAGTCAGCGACCAATTATGATTTTAAGTAGATTATTGCTGATTTCTAAAAAAAAAAAAAGAAAAAGAAATAGAAACAGAAACAAGAAAATAATTGGGTTAATGCCATTTCAAAGTCGACAGCAAGCTTCTCGTTTTGAGTAACCGAAAATTGTCAAGTCCATAAGGAAAATCAACAAAATTGCCGTTGGAGAAAATTAACCTTACAGCGTGTACTTACTTTTCATGGTGACTACTTAGGGTTAGGACCGTTGACCCGACTTTATCGGTCGGTCTGGTACGTTTTTTTTTTTTTTTTTTTTGTGTGTAGGTGCGGCCTTGGAAACTTATATTAACTTAGAGGGTGTCTATGAAACGACAAATGTAGAAAGTAATTGTTGGTCGTATTCACTTATATATAGGTACGGCTGATAGAATAACAATATAGTATATTGTATTTCTCGAGTGCACACACACAGAAAAATTGAACGACAATAATAAATAATAATAAATAAACTCAAAATAAAATAATTTAGTCGAGTAAAGCATATAATAATAACAATAATAATTCACTCGATCGTGGCATACTCGTGTAGCCTTCCACGCTCCAAACCCTCACCCCGTTGCGTAGGTTGGTTAAAAACAAAACAACAAAAAATTACTTAAGTTCGAAAAAATAATGATAAATATTTGTAAGGCGATAATATTCTTTATCTTCTGCGGGCGTACGGTTATTTATTAAGGCACCGACGTCGGCTGGCAACACGAGTGCTGCTTGCTGCCTTCTTGTGAAGTGCAGTTCATTTTGTTAACGTTCAAGGTTATTGAATGTAACAAATTCATTAAACCCGAAAAGTCAAAAGGCTGCGGTGTAAAAACATCACAAGAGAAGCGATAAAGTCACCGAAAATTAATATATTTATTATTAAAGTAATCGACACGTCAAAACTAATTTAAGTACTATTTTTGTATATTCCGTCGAATGCAGTTTGTTTTTTTACTAAAAAAAAAAGTTATGATTATTAATTATAAAATATAACGTGCAAAATTAAAAAAACGGGTTATGGTTGCCCAGAAAAATATTTTTTATAATTTTCAGCGTTAACACTGTATGTTGATATGTTGGCTGTATTTTAAAGCTTAATTTAAAAAGTCAAAAATGTACTTATGAAAAATTATCAAATTGTATTACTTCTTCATAACATATGAAAATGTATACTGTAACTTTGTACAACACCAGATAACTTTGGAATACTAAAAAAAAAAGAAAGTGTTATTGTTAACAATAATTATTTACTATTTCCAAATAACATAAAAGTGTACTATTCAGTTTAACCCGATAAATTCTACTAGTTGTACGAATTTACTGATCATAAAGCATACGTGTAGGTACAAATAACATAATAATAAAATATGTAATCTACGAAACCGGTAAAATAAAATTATTTTCCATATTCGGTTAGATTTGATTATTCTGTTACGAACAAAATATAATTTACAGTAAATATTATAATATTATTAATTATAATATGCAAATTACCGAGCAATTAATTAAGTATTGACCTGTTTTTCGCGTTGATGATTTTTTTAGTTTCAATGGAATCGCAATAGTAATAATAATGTAAAATAATAATTGTGAGTGCGTTAAGGAGTATAATAAATGCGTGTAAAAGTTAAAACGGTTATTTTTACCTCAACCCGTCGCCGGTAGCTCGACAATGATAAGTGGGAACATGATTTTTACATTTTTGAAACAATAGACAAATGAGTCATAATGGTATTTTTGTAATTCACACAACCGCCACAGTGTAAGCACAACATTATAATATCGAAGCACGGTTGGGAAACGGGCAGCACTATGTATGTATGTCTGTGGTTGTTGTGATAGTATGTACCTAAGTATTGTAATACATTTCACTCGTACAACCTGATCTGGCGGTGTTCAGATGTGTAACAATACTTATCCTCATACTCAATGTGTGGCCTGAAATGTTGTCGAGTTCAATAGAATGGTAAAAAAATGTACACATTTTAGAAGTTTTCGAATTTTGAATCTCCCTCGCTCCAGCTTGATCTAGACGATAATATTCTCAGTAAGATAATACACTATAATATCCGGACAACGTTTTTCGCGTCCGGTATGACATGCATATGTATGTATATATGTTTATAAAAAACCACAAACATTTTTTTATGAGTAGGTACTATTTTCCCTTTCTCGGTGCCAACAAAACGCTTGCACGACCGTGATGATTTTCACGCGCGATTCAAGAGTAAAACGCCGTCCTTGCTATTCAACGACAAACCACTATAATATTTTATATTGTACATCTTTCTTTTTTCCTCTCTCTGCCTGACTGTCTGTATAGCTTGTGTGTGTGTATAATACAGGGTGATCAGTCAAAACGTAGCGCGGCAAAATTATTCTCAACCTATAAAGTGAATTTGATCGTTTGACATTTACAAGTCGACAGAGCTATAAAATGCTTGTGAACGGTGTCGAATATTGTAAGACGACATAAACCGCAAAGTGTTTCCAAAAAAAAAGATGGAAGTCTCGCTTGGAACGGATCACCTTGTATACACACATACGGCGTGTGCTCGACTGATGAGATCGAACCATAACCATATACGGTCGTCAATATGACCGGTCGTGACGTCATCGGTTCAGCATGTTAAATACTGTCAACCTCGGTTCTTTCTTTTCGATTGCGATTACACTGTGTCGTTGCCCAGAAGAAGACGCTAGGTGTAGAGTGTCCCCCGCAAAGGGAATTCGCGTCCCCTTCGTTCCCCATGCCGTGTACAAAGCACACCTGGAATAAGTTCCACAATTCACTCAAGTAGTGAACGCACGTGCTCGGTATGATCACTGTGATTTATTAGCACAAATTGTCGAATGAACAAACATTGTTTTGTCCTTACCCGTGTACCGGGTGATTTTTTTAAAGTGATCCACTCTTACCCCAAATTCAGTATTTTTGTGTCAACTTTGACAACACGAATGAACGGTAACAAATGGAGAACAATTTTTACCAAACATTTTTAACATTTTGACCGGTCGACAACAGGTTATTAATGTTTAATGTGTAGCACAACAGTAGATTGATTTTTGTGTTATTGACATAAGTCTATTGTGTTTACAGGGAGCCGTAGCCGACGAAGTGTACGAGGGCAGACCGTGCTTGGAGTGCCACGACAATTGTTCGGGATTCGTGCCACACCTGTGGAGGTAAAGTTTGTGTACTTACCGCCAATATTATACATAAATACATATTAATTACTAACCCTCTGGAGCGTGTCCAGACGACATTAATACGGTTGTAAGGGATGAACGTCGCATCCGTCGAGAAAACTAAGTACCTGGTCATTTTTTTTTTTTGTGACTAATAGGAGTTAAACTTGATAAGTCGGGCTTGTTCGGTCCAGTTTTGGAAAAAGTTTCTGTTTAAAAAACAAACTCCGTTTTGAATCGAGGCGGTTTATATTATGTATCTGAAATATTACATAAAGGTTTAGAAATTTTATTCCGACTTAAACCCAAAATAAAATAAAACACATGCGTTTTTCTTAGGACTAATAGTTTTTCGTTTTGTTTCACGAACAAATTAATTTATACATTTTTTCGTATATTTATATTGGTTTAATTCATTTATACATTTTCTTTTATATTTGACACTATTTTACACACATTATAGAATATTTTTAACTCATGTGTATTCATTGTAGTTGTATTTATTTTATATTTCTTAAAACTATTGTCGAATAAACATATACCTTAGAAGATGTAACAAGGATATTATCCTTGTTACCCAAGTTAAACGAGTACCTAAATATAATATGGGCGTTTGACCGTGTTCATACATATGGATTAGTTGGTACCATAATAATGTAAATATTTAAGGAAAACAAAAACAATACAATAACTTAACAAGCCGTTTCTTTCAAAATATAATATATATATATATATAACTTATTATTTGACAAAATACTTCTTTGGTGCGTACGTTCGGCAAAATAAATTAATAGTTCGTTTGATTACATTGTTATTGTTGTTTTTTTTCAAGCCCCTTAGTCGTTTTTTTTTTTTATTTTGTCTTAGTCATAGTAATATTATGTACATTTTAGATTTTTTTAAATAAGTTAACGGGCAATAAAAAAATAAGGAAAAGCTTGGTTTTACTGCGCGTGTAAAATATATTTTTATACAGACCCCCCCCCCCCACTTGTCTTTGGTTTTCTTTTGGGGACCATCACCATGAGTTTATATACTTAATAATAATATAATAATTTATTTTCTACGTTGCACCGAGTTAGTTTATAACCTGTCAAAGTATGATGTCATGGTAATACTCTTACGGTTGCCCGTAAAAGGGTATGAATGCAAAATGAATATTCGCATATTTATCATTTGCATTTCACACAAAGTTCGGACGGAAAAACTCTAGTTAATGGCTGCATCTGGTTTTAAAATTTTTTTTTCTTATTTGTCACTTAACCACCGACTCGAGCCATAAGAATAACCGCAAGGATGATGATGAGCACGTTGTTTAATTAATTAATTACGTTTCGAATAATAAAACAAAATACTTAAGTTTCCTCGAACAAGGCGACTCGTTGTTAATTATATCATAATTTTGTATGCGGTTAAGGCCAAGGAATAGGACCTAGGTAAACGCATCAAACCGAAACACTGGCAAGACGTCAAACATCAATATTAATGTGTGGTTGTTTGTCCAAGACAATTCACTCGACTCGGCCGGCCGACTCGATGAGTATATTTGTAGATAATAATTTGTATTTGATTTAGGTCTGCTTAACAAACTGTGAAGTGTGTAATTACATACTCGCAGTTAATTTGTAAGAATAATACACTGCACTGCGACGTTATGTAATATAATTAGGCACAGTTAAACGCGGTGTTGTTATTAAGTCGAATCCGTGTTCGGGTATGATGTTTCAATTTTTAAAAATTACATATATACATTTATTTTAAATGTAAAATTAAGCTAATTATCAACCGAAAATCCGGCAATACTTATTAAAATCCACGAGTTCCCAATCAAATGTATTAATTATTGTGCAATTGAATCTGTTAATTTTCTATTTGGTTAGTTCATTTTTTCACCCAAAAAATGTTGATCTTCAACTTCAAAATTGTCATTTACCAATCAAACTTGTGTAAAAATAAAACAGTTAAATATTAAAACATTTTTTTTTTTGGGGGGAATTTCAGTAATACTTAAATTTAAAACAGAACCTGTAATTCAAAATTGTACTAATAATAGTATTAAAAAAAAAATCTTTTATGTCTAATGAAAACTGTTAATGTTCAACTGAATCGTCAATTTTTAATTAAAGTCAAATCTATTAACCTCATACCAAACATATTATTTGCAAATGTTATTACCATTCAAAAATCTTAATTTCTAAGCAATTTGATTAATTTGCAATCAACAAAATCTCAATGATATTCATACAAAGAAAGAAACCAACAAAGAAATTCAGAAAATATTATCATTCAATAATTTTACATAATAAACATTTCAGCCAAATCTATTGTACCTCAACCTAATTAATTAATTTCTAATAAAATCGGTTAGCATCCAACGGTGCCAACTCCTGGCTCTAACCAAACATTTATAATGTTCAGTTTAATCATTTACTTTTAATCAAAACTGTATTGTCAACACAGTGCAGGACGGAATTTTGAGTTTAAGATGTTTTTTTACTATTCAAGTATTTACAGAACCAACGAGGGCGGACTTTTGGTCACAACAGTTCTCCCGAATTCAACTTTGCGCAACTTGGATTCCACAGTAGTGTGCCGAGGAGCCCTGTGCAAGGACACAGCTTGCACAGCGGTTAGTCTATAATAAAATAAGACAAGTGACGTCTTAGAATGAAAAATATGATTTGAATTATTGCCGTTTCGAAAATAGTCCCCGTTTGGCATCGGTTACCTGCAGCTGGTGCTCGGTGTAGGCTTTGCAAAATATTATTTTTTACTTATTAATACACGTTGGACGTCATGGCCGGATTCCAATTATCTTATCGCACCGTTGCCATCGCAAACGGTCCGGCACGCGTACCTATGGAGGTATTTATCAACCGTAACGGTGCGATTAATATTTAAAAAAAAAAAAAGATAATGATACTATCATAACACTATGATTGGATAGCTTCAACACGTGGGAGCTTTTTTGGTCAACTCAAAATTGAATACAAGGAGACCGCATTTATATTCTCTTGATTAAGAGATTCGGTACGGTGAAGTAAGATTTAAATAATTAGCCTAAACTTCAACCATTATTTTTCTAATGTCAAACCTCTGTTAAACATTTTCTCCCAATCAAGAACAACGGTTCACTGTAGTCACAGCGGACTTGAAAAATATTTAGACTAAACGCGACTAATTTCTTGACACCCTTCTTTCGACACGGTAGTTCAAAAAAAAAATGTGAAGCAATTTTCGTAAAATATCTTTTAATGTACGAGCCACAAATCTGACCGTGTTTCCATATTTTGGAAGCACAGCCGTTCAGAACGTCGGGGTTTGCAGTATTGAGGTCCAGTCATAGAGTAATAATGATATTAAGAGATCAACCGACATAATATACTAGTTTGTATGCGATAGTGAAGTAAACAGAAGGACTAAAACCAGTATGACCACACAAAAGAAAAAAAAAGTCTGTTGGTGGTCGTGCCTTATGTAATAAGATCTATTATAACACAAAAATGAAAACTGCAACTTAAATATTTTGTATAATATATCGTGTTGGGATACTTAAAAACCTGCATTAATTATAATATGACCTGACACAATGTTGACTACACTATCTACTGTTATTTAGCTTCGATAGCCGGGAAGGTATTGTTTTTAGATTTAAGATCATAATGTGGTTGCCCAACGGCCCAAGACAATAATGTCCATAAGACATCCGTTTCTCGATCAACTACTAGCGTTCCTGTCCGCGATTCAAGATGACAACCAATCGTAATGCGTTATCATTTTAAAGTTGTGCTCACATTAAGATTAACTTTGACGGTCGGGCAACCATATTATATCGGTATCTTAAATCAGCTATTTGATAATTTAATGTGTGTGTGTGTGTGCAATTGAAGCGAGGCCCGTTTATTTTGGAGCCCACGGTCCCCCGACGTGTCTATCTTGCCAGATACGAAATATGGCCCTGCTCTCCTCCATATTAGATTGCCCCCGCGGGCAAGTGTCTCTCAGCGGGTTTTACACAGCCTGTGTTCTTTCTAGTTCCGGTGCGTCGTCTCGGCCATTTACGGATCCGTCCGGTGCAATTAAAACCGTGCTAGTGTCGACGACATCGGCGCGATGACCGCCAGGGTGTGTGTGTGTGTGTTTGTGTGCATGTGTGTATGTGTGTGTGTGTTTTTTTTTCACATGAAAATCATTATATTATATTATTGCAGTTGGCATCGGTCGTCGGCCGGTGGCGAGCGCGTACAAAAATAAAACGATGGCCCGACGTTAACGGCCGGGCTTGACGGTAAATTAGTCGGGCGCCACACGTGTTCGGGCTAGATGTACAAGTCGATAGTGATAGTGCGCCGTGATAACGGTTAAACAATTTTCAAGGAATTAAAAACAAATAACCCAAGTAAATAGTATAATAGTATCGATAAACTATGTTCAAATCGACGATCGTCGGTCCCGCTAGAATCCGTGTTTGATCGACGACAACCCTTTCGGCAGGTAAGAGTCAGGTGACGGCCCCGGAGAACCGCACACCACGTTTACAGGCCACCCAAATGGCGGATAGGTAGTTTTTTTTTTGGGGGGAGGGAGGAGGGTTGGTTACCGGTTTTGAAAACGAAGGAGTTGTACACAAATTGTACAGTCTGCATAAGACCGTCCAAGGGGAAAAAAAAGTTGTCGTGACTTCCAAAAAAAAAACTAAAAAGGGCTACCGAAATGTAAAAATTAAATTTTTAAAAGATACGTTAACTGAAAATATCATCTCGTTTAAAAATATACTAAAACATTAAAATACCTTTGTTGGCGTTTCACTTTTTTTCGGGCCAACTTATTGATGATTATTTTATCCGAATCAATTAACCGTTTAAGAACCCTCTTTCTCGACACTCTTGAAACTGTTTGATGAGGCTCGGGACAAATTTAAATTTTTGAGAAATCAGTTTGGTATATAAATCATGCTCGACCGACATAATTGAAATTAACGACAAGGATAATAATTCGTCGGACCTACGTGGGAAAACCCTCGCTTTACCTATTGGACCCGGGTACTCGGGCAGAGCCGGTAGGTCGAAATCCCCAATGCCAAAAACGATATTTAGGCCGACGGTAGAATTTTGGAATTTTTTTTTTTTTGTTATTATTAACGCCAGCACCGTTTGACCCAGATGTCTCGTAGCCAAGACCGCCGGTCGCCTCCGTGGCGGATTAATATGAGCAATATCGAGTAAACGAGGAATGTTTTAGTTTTCTGTTTTTTTTTCCCACATTTAAATACCGCTTACGAATCACATAAGTCGACGTTTATGCGTTTGTGCGTGTAGGCAGAAGAGAGTGGCTGAAATGTGCCACGCTCAACAGGTCGTTTTTCGAACCGACCGCGCGTTTACGGCCAAGTATGACGGTTTGTTTTTTCAAGTTTGTCGGCCTAACTGCGCAGTTGTACAATATATGTATGTGTATTATGGATTTTACGTTGCCGACAATTAATTTAATTACCCCGCGTACGTTACACACGTGTCCGTGAAACGACACTGACTTACATGTCAAAATACAGTTGAGCCCAAAAAGGAAAACAAAGTGTATTTATAACGCTTGGTAGATAGTTTCTAAAAGTGAAAAAGTCTAAATTATTTTTGGTTAAGACGCGTTTACTTCTTAGAATAAATTATTACATTTTTTTTTTTTTTGTCTTCTGGAAAGTCTTATAATTTCACTTGTACCCTTTCTCACCAGAACCGTCCAAGTGGAGTTTGAGTGCACAATCAAATAGATAAAATAAATTAAACAACATATGATTTTATTTAGTGATCAGACGAATCGCATAGATTTTTTTTATGAACAATCAATCATGCCGGTAGAAAGTAATTGCAACTTAATTGTAACGGCCGGCTATTATATCATTAAAGCTACGTATAGTTTACCTATAATTGTCCCGACACATTCTTGACGATCAATAAAAAAGGATATGTATGTTGATGAGTTTTCAACGACCTAACCTAATTTCATTTGCGTTAACGGCGGCGGTTTATTCAGACCTAGATAGACGGCAATTTGTTATAAGCAAATGACAATATCGAAAAGCGGCTTTCCTAAGACCTCCCAGCACTAGAAAGTAAAGATGTTAAAAAATATATACCCGTCGACACTTGGAAGTGATAAACAATATTGTGATCCACTATATCTTTTTTAAAATTGGCTGTCCAGACCATTTCAATTTAATCCACCTCAGACAATGTCTGCTATTGTCACAACTCCCAAACTACTTCCATGTACATAGTATAAGTATACTTGTTTCTTATTCTATCTAACTTCTTAGACAATAGACACTCCAAAAAAACCATCTAAACGCTAAAGTTTCATCATTTTTTGTCCAACGTTCACTTCCGTGTCTAATTATTGATGGTCTTTCAAAGTAAATTTTTCATTAAAATTGTCCTCTTACCATATCGGTCAATCCCTCCAATATTTCACTTAAGTCATAATCGATCTTAAGTGTTTAATATCTTCCTTCTCCACTACTTTGTTCACCACGTGCAATTTTATATAACCAATTGGACACTTTTCGTTTAAATAAGAATAAAATTGTATTTTTTTTTTTTCATGTTCTAAAAAAAGCGACAGAAAACGACCGAATTTATTTATTTCATTTCTTTTTTCCATTGTACTTTGTAAACACAAAATAGTTATATAAATACAAAATGTCTGATCTAGATATTTTCGCTGTTTATTTATTTAATCCGTTTTTTGTAGTACCACGTGAAAACGATTTCACCGGCTTCGGTTGTTTACATAATCGCAAGTCGCAATCACGTTCACTTTGTGCGCAAAACGACATTGTCCAGATATCGGTGTTTTTTTTTTTTGGGGGGGGGGAGGGGATCAGAGCAGACTCGCAGTGCACAATAATATAATATAATAAGTAATCGTGTGATGATATCGGCCGACACTAAATACATTATATTACAGTTTGGATTGGAAAACAATAAATTACGACTCCGTCGCGGTTTTGTTAGAATTTCTTATTTAATATATTTTATTTTCAATGACGATTTGGAAAACAGTAAAAAAAAAATATATATATATATATATGTATAAAAAAAATCACACACGCTTAAGAAATAATAACTATTATTATACAACACGCACGATACATGAAACGTGTATGACGTCCCAAGTGGGGCGGACGGGTAAAGGGGGGGGGGCGAGAGGAGGGGAGGCGATCAAATGTATAACAAAAAATTGCGTGTGTGGGGCAGTGGCAGGGGTTGCGGTTTTGCTCAGAAGTCAAAAGCGTCGTTGCTGGGCTTTCTGTAGCCGGTGTTTCCGCTGTCAGATCTGCTGACCACGGCGTTGAATCCGGACTCGGGGTCGGCCGTGTACTCGACCAGCCTCATGGCACCGTCGGGATCGAGCACGCTGTACGCGCCCTTGACCACCTCACCCTCTCTGGCCTCCCATTGGCTCTTCACGTCGTACGTCTCCGGGTCGTGCACCGCGTAGTCGAACTTGTAGTCTTTGGGCGCCTGAGAAAATTAAAAAAAATTCATGAGATATATTGTCTTTGGATTTAAGTAGAATATCGATATTGTTATTTAGAAGCACTGTAATGTATTGGTCAGGTAAAAGATTTACCTGATGGAAGTGAACGAGCAAATAAAATAATAATAATTCAAAAAAAAATTCGTGTATTCGAGTAAACGAGCAATATTTCGAGTGAAAGAGTAAATAATTTGAGTAAACGAATAAATAATTCAACTAAACGAATAAATAATTTGTGTAAACCAATAAATAATTCGAGTAATCGAGTAAACAGTTCGAGTAAACTAGTAAGAAAATCAAGTAAACAAATCGAAATTGTTGCATTTTTTTATTATTAGAATTTTTTTTATCTTGTTAACACATGGTTATCCATTTAGCACAAAAAAAATGTTCTTGTTTAACCCTCGGTCTAAACCATATTATCAAGTGTTGGAAAAAACTCCCACAAAGAATAGCGCGTCCGTCGGTTTAGACCAACGCGGAAAAAAAGCGTTTTAAAAATAATTACCGTTTTGGCTCTACACGGCTTTGCTGATCACGAATGGATCATTCGTAAAAATCAGATAGATAAATAACTTACTTTTTTATGTTAATTTAATATGAATGTATTTTAACGCTTACGTGCAATTAAAACCAATAAGTAACGATATAGAAATTTTTTACAAAAGCCAAAAGTAAGAGCAGTAATTACATTATTGGTGTTTTAAAATCATAGGCAAAAAAATCAATTGCGAATAACACAAATCGTTTTACAATATTTCCATAACATATTAAAACAATTCGAGTACCTAGGAATTACTATCGAAACATTGACGTTAAATTATTTGGCGAAATATCACTTTAAAATAAGATTTTAATAATAACAATATTAGTAAAATATGCTATTAAACCAATTTATTAGTATATAATAATATAATTGCTGTGTGGGTTATAATGGTTAGCACGTCATCGGTTCGACAATTGTTGAACATTTATTTCCCCAATGACGTACTACATAATATCTATTTATAAAAAAAAGCAAATTCCTAAGGTTTCGTGTGGATAAAAATTATGATTTATATACAATTTTAACGATAGTACATTATATCGTATTAAAGTATAATGCACACAATGAAAATAATGAAAAACTCGACGGACAAAGGTGTGAGTTGCGACACTTTGCTGTCTTTGTGTTGTTTACTGGACCGTAGCCAAAGAATAAAAAAAAAAAATAAGAAAAATGCATTTAGTGTGTGTATGTGCATTACACTCGAAATGGAGAAATAGGGGAAATAATTATTTGATATTTTTTCAATTTTTTAAATGTGGTACATTTTTGGAAAAAAAATTGTTTTATTTAAAGAATTCCCAAATGGCCTACCGTATCGATATGTTAAGTACTCACGTATGATTCTCCGGATTCGGCCACGCTCGACCTGGGCCCGCCGTCGACGAAGATGGGCACGGCCACGGCGCAAACGGCCATCGCGCTCAACACGGCGACAATCTGGAAACATTGACAATTTTTTTTTTTTTTTTTGTAAGATTTTCCCATTTTTGCACAGTCAAAACGGAGAGGTTGTGAGTGTTTTTAAAAAATTTTTTTTTGTTTTTTTTTGATATACTTACTTGACACGTTTTCATGATCGGATATTATTTTATTATTACCGTTTCGCTTTTGTCGCTGTCGTTGCACCGAAACGATTGTACCGCCATGCAGGTCGGTTCCAGGGTTTTATACCCGAACCGCATGCATACGCGTTCCCCCCTCCCCCTCCTACGGGTTTCCCCTCGCGGTTACCACCTCCGGGATGGTTTTCCCGGATTTTCCCACCGGCCCCGTTCAAACGTACCTATACTCTGTGGTGTGACACGATGCCAAGGTCGCAGACGGTGGTGGTGGGACGTTTAAGGAAAACCTGGTCGGCCAATCTTACACAGACGAGTAACATTGTAATTGAAACGGGGGTGCACTTTTTACTGATGACCGAAAAAACCCTCCTCGACTTGGCGTGATCGCATGTTGATTAGACTACCGGTTGACCGCCGTATATCTGTTGGCTGCATCTTTTTTAGGTAAATCCCGCGGTAGGCCTTATTTCTATACAGAGCGATTGACCGCATCTATGAACCGCACTCACAGTTATTAGCTACCACGAATTAGCACTATATTTTTCATCCCTTGTGTTATAAGACCTGTTACGGACTTCAGTACTGTATGAAGTATATCTGAACTTTTTAAATTAAAAATAAACTGCTGAAAATGTTCACTGTTCGATAACCAGTGTTGGACGATTAATTTCAAAGTTATACAAGTTTAAAATTCATAAAGAAGTATAATTACCAAAAACTGGTTATCGATCAGTCCACATTTTTAGCATATTACTCTGGTTCATAAAAAAAAAAAAATGTCGAAATTTCTGAAAAAGTTATTATTATTTTGAAAGAAAAACAATTTATCATTGGATTTCTTACTCGACGAAAAAATATAATATGGCTAAATAATAATAAATAACGAATTTACTACTTTAGATATTAAACATAAATAAAGGGTGTTTTTTCGAATTAGAGCGGTCGTGAGATTTTACTCTTAATATATTTATTTACTGTGAAATCTTATTAGATTATTTGGCGCAGTTGGGCATCGTCACCAAAATAAATATTTTATATAAGTATAAAAAAAATTATGTGCGCCTAAAATCAAATGTAAAAAATTATAATTTAATTACATTTACGTCATGTTATTTGGCACGCCGCAAAATAATATAAAACTTAAAATATAAATATAAATTGTGGGTAAAAATCAGCTTTCGACAATAATTATGTTTTAAATAATTTGCTGAATTTAATGAATTATTATTTTAAACACATTATTATTTGGTGGATTAAAATCAATTTTTTTAAAAATTATTATCTTATAACTAAACAATATCATTTAAGTCAATAATTTAAGATATCTTTAAATACATTTTCGTTATTGTTTTCGATAAAAAAATATCACTATAATATACTTTTTTGTTAAAATACAAATACAAATTAAATATATTAGTATGTTCAACGTTGGAAATATGAAATTTTTCTTTTTTCCTTTACATAATAATATAAATTATAGCTAAGTGGTAGAAGTGAGAAAAAAAAATATCATTAATTCGCAATATAGTCCATTTCCTAGGTAACCTTTTCGCTTTGACATTTGTACAGCAGTCAGAGAGTGGAACATTCCGGCCAAAGGTCTTGTTGTTCGAGTAAAAAATGTAATTCATATTATTAACATTTTTTCGTTTGGTAATAAGTTTAAATGTCAGGTGAGAACTATTTCATAATTATTTTTTATTGTACTTGTTTCGACTGAACCTATAACGATTTTTATTATTATTATTTTGTTTTCGGTTTGGTTTGATTATCAAACAACGTTATCAAATTTAATAGCAGTGCACCGCTTCGATAAATCACTGTTGTCTGTGTTTGTTTTTCCCCTCTCCCCCCCCCCCATCTCTCTCTTGACACTGTCGGGTGTTGATCTTGATTAATAATCATAAATAAAAAAAACCTAGACTGAAAATAGGCTAAGGGTGTGTAGTAAAAACCCGGCGGCAACCCCTCGGTGACCTTTCGGATGGGTAAACTAATTGAACGACCTTTCGTTGTTTGCATTGGTTAGATTGTAAAACCGTCTAAGGGTAGGTGGTATATATAGACTCGCTCGAAAGTGTCTTATTATTATTCGGTGCTTGGGTGTGGCGGCGTTTTTAATCAACACACACATTTATTATTATTTTTTGCTTCATAGTCCGCTCTGAATCGATATCGACTGTGACAAGGTAAAAAAAAAAAAAAAATAAGAAGAAGACAAATGTCAAAATTAAGACGTTTAGACGGTTTTGAAAATGTTTTTGGCATCTCTCGTGGCCCACCACTAGTTATTTTTGCGCTTTGCGTGGACAAATTCAAAACTTTGGCATTCTACACCTAAGCCTAAGCCGTTTGAGCAGAAAGTAGGATCAACGTTGATTTACTTTTGGTGCAATTAGGTAATCCGGTAATTGGGTGTGTAAAAATACAGTCATACACTCGTATCGTTGTCGTTTTTTGTGTTTATCCGGATAACGGTCTTAATGGCTACAAAAAAAAAAAAAATAGCAGTACTCGCATCATTATGGCTCTCAATTATTACACTATTAAGTATTAACGGTTGGGTCGTTTGGACGAGTGCTCGTTGACTGCGTTTGTTTACTAGGTTGCAATTTGTTTTCAGCTTATTAGCCGTAGCTTTGTTTTTTAGTTTTAATTTGTTGACGTCCGAAATAAATTGGAGAAAGGAAAAAATATGCATCAACATAAAAAAAAATTCAAAATCGTCATCGATACTAAAAATAGATTTATTACATAAAAAAAAAAATATATATATATATATCACTTGAAAATTACACAGTTTAAGAATTGAAGATATTTTGTCGTTTGAAATTTAAGCAATATTCGTTTTTATTAAATAATTATCGTTTTATAAGTGTTGGCTTGTATAACGTACAGTTGTTCACAACATAACACTTTACGATAATTGTAGCAATACTATTTGGCAAAAAAAAAAACAAATATGAATGACACAAGGTGTATTTTGATAGTAATATAAAAAAATATATTTAAATTATTGTTTTAAATATGTCAATAATATTTCACTGGAAAATTATAATATAATATTTTTACTTCATTTATTCAAATCAAACAATAATAATACAATTTCTTTAGATATTTCTATTATTACCTAAGTATTGAATAATTAACAATAATTGTTTGTATAAATATTGTAAAAGTATTTAAACACTTTGACGTCTATTACAATTTTTTCAGTGGAATATTATTAAAAAAATACATTATTCTTGTGCGGGGTAAATAATCATATTTATTATTTCCACCATCTGCAAAGCCTCGCCCTTAGATTTGAGTCGATAAGTCATTTGTGGCCCTATGGATCTTCTTGGGCACCGCAGATTTTAGTTTTCAGAAAAATGAGATTAATCTAAAACGATTGGCACGCACAACACTGTTGTTAATGCCAACATTTTTTCTTAATACAATTAATATTAATGTCAGAAGTAGTAAAGAATTGTTAATTTAATTAAATAACAAATAATCAATCGACAATAATGTAATAAACAAATTGATTACCGCTAAATACTAATTTGCTGATGATGAATTATTTGAATTACATTTTTATTTAGCTCATCAAAAGATGGTTTTTTGTTTTAAACTTGTATTGTATATTATTTAAATAGATTATTTTTTTAACACATACAACTTAAGATACATCGATTATACGTCGCAACCGTATTTTTCTGAAGTAAATAAATACACAATGTTTAATATAAATAAAAATATTATTATTGTGGCGTGTAGCATAATATGATAAATGCATTAAACAATTTCTGTGTTTTGTAAAATTGACACTTTTTATGCGAGTTTTTCTTAGGTCAAATAGATGCGCAAAAAAATAAGTCGTCTTCCCGCGATTTTGCCAATTAATTTCATTCCGAACATTTCCAATCCAATTATCTTTGTAACACCGCCTTCTCTTTTTAGAATCTCAGGAGTTGTTAAAGTAATCGCACTTTGTGTTATTTCATCGACTAATCGATTGATTCTTCTTATATGGCTGTTGTTCTGTTGGCGATTATTTGTTTTTTCACTGACTTTTGAAAAAAAAACCCTAAACTAATTTACATGTTTTCCCTTCGTCAAAATACACCACAATTGTTTTATGTATTCTCCGGGGAAAACCCTTATGGATCTGTTGTCAAAAAAAAAAAAAGAGACTCAAACTTTTTATCGTTCGATTGCAGGTGTAAAACAAAAAAAAATCGGGTTGAAACAATATCAACAAATATAACTAGGTATTGGCCGAGATCGTGTAGCGCTAATTTTGAGAGTTTTAATAATCTCAAGCTCTCTTCCCCCCGACTATGAACAGAATGCCATGGTGTCGGCCACGGGTTAATAGGAAACCGTCAATTTTTTTGTACATAAAAAAAAAAACAACCGTCACGGCCGTATGCGAGGTGCATTCAACTCACACAACATTGCAGTGGTTATATGTATATATAAAAAAATGAAAAGTGCGATAATGCATAAAATTTCGTTATATTGTGTATGAATATTTTTTTTTTTTTTGTCCACGTCCGTCGTCGTTCTATGCCGATGTCAATAGTGTGGTGTCGACTTGGCGCAAAATATTATGTACGGGAAATTTAAAAGGAATAAAAAGCGACATTGTCTTCGTGTGTCCTCAGCGCACGCGTTATCCCTATGGAATTGTTTTTTTAAAATATTTCCCAGCCGCGTTCTGATTATTGTTATTATTCAACGCTTACAGGGTGATCGATTTAAGACAGATATAATTTTAAATAGCAAGGAGAAAAACTAACGGGTATTCATACAGAGTATACTAGTATAGACTAAAAAACTTAAGCAACACGTCTTGTGGTTAATTGTATGTTGTTTATTGTTTCATAATGTTTTAAGGGCACAGGGGAAAAACGGTAGTTGTCACATTGTGAAAATTTTTGAGTATAGCAAAAACAAAGTTCGTGAATTCCTCTACCTTTTTACATGAGAACAAAACAAAAAAAAATCACATTAATTGCTACTCTATAATGATAAATGTATTTATTTAAACAATCTATTGACATGAATAAAAAAAAAATACTGGC